TTTAAGACAATGTTTAAAAAAAATGTATTCCTAAAGGCTTAGAGAACCATATTCAGAAATACTGAAGCAATTTATGTGTACTAAGCTTAAGTGCCAGAAACAGACAAGAAAATGTCCTCATGTTATTTGCTTGAATAGTTATCTGTGGAATGGGCAAGGTAGGTTGTGCACTAGAATTGTTTCAGTTCTTTAAAAACATTTTAAAAGTTGAAGTTGAGTTTCTTGTTTCATTTTTACTTTATTTTTCCAGTTTAATACTGTTTTTCTTTCTGTGTGGGGAGAATGAGTCGATGAATTTTATATAGGGAAGAAATAGGAGTGATTACCTTATACTCACTGTAAATGTATTTGTGTTTTTACTCCAAAACTGACTCCAACCTGCAAATTTAGATATATACATTTTGAGGGGAGCTAACTTTGAAAAGACACTCTAGATTAGAAAAACAACTAGATTTTGTGGTTGGAGAACTGCATTAGGTGTCAGAGGGTCTTGGTTCTCCTTTGAGTATTACAGTTGGCTATGCAGTTCAGGAAGGGTACAGGCATATTACAGTGGAGTGGAACCCAAGAAATATCTCAAACCAGACCTTTCCTTTCATTGATTTGGAGTTGATGACCAAAGACATTGCATGGAGAGCAAGGAATAAAATGGAAATTTCCTGATTACTGGGCTTATTTCCTTTCCGTTGTACTGGTATCTTAATTTTTTTCCTCTATACATCTATATATCTATGTATCTATATTTATATATCTCTCTATAATATTGTAAAGCAGTCTTGTCTTTTTAAATAATCGCAGGTTCCTTGAGAGTCAACATTACAGCACAATTCTTCCCCTCATAACATCTCTTTGGAATCTGAACTCTTGCTAGATGCTCTATAAAATATGTTAAATAGAACAGAGTTAAATGAAGCATTATACAACAGCTGTCTGGATCCGGACCGGGTTTTGGCTCTCTCTCTGAGCTGAAGCCCAGATGTATGAGTCCTCTTCCAGATCCCCTCCGGGATTTAGAGGCGCCCCAGAACTAGTCCGGGGTTAAGGCTCAGAGGCCGCTGCAAGGATTTCAGCACAGCTTTGCGGTGAGTACACCTGCAGGATAGCCCTCCGGTGAGGGCCCGTTTGGCGGAGGAGCGACTCTACAGAGTATGCGGCAGGAGGTGGTGTGGAAGGATCGAGAGATTTGGGCCAACAATCTTCTCTTCCCTGGAAGTGGGAGAGAGTTTGGCGGCCCAGCGTGGGGACGCCTGTTCCTAGGCAACCTGCAGCCGCAGGCCTGGGCTTTCTGGAGTCTACCGGGAACTGTGTCTTTCCAGCTTGTCCTCCTGTCTGGAGCTGTCTCAGGAGTTTCTCGGTAGAATTGCCCCAGTTGGTACCCTTTTCATCCTTCCCACTGTGGAACTGCTCTTTACCCAGCTTATTGGGTCGAGTCAGGTTGGCTATCCCGTATGTCCCACCCCAGTCCACGAATCTAAGATAGGAAGAGGGCGGAGCATCACTTGTACTTTGCAGGTGCCTTGATGTATAATCTTAACTTCGTGGGGAGTGATGTACAGACAATTACTATGAGATTAAGAATGATATCATGTTCATTAGGATACTTGGGTCTGTGATCACCTGGGGCCCAAGATAAACTTGGTCCTCACCTGCATGGGGGTTAAATACTAAATCTTTTCCCTCTCCTTGATTATGGGATGGATTGGATCAGTTTATTCTTCGCTTTCCTTTATGTTCTGATTTGGTATAAGCATATTATAGCCGCTAATATCACTAACCAAGAGAGAAGTGGTGATAATTGCAATCGGAAGTAATCATCCTTAAAAAATAAAGGAAGTGGGAGATGAGTTAATTTCTTTTTGGTAGCATCAAAGATAATACGGTAAGATTTGAATCTGTTTGTCAACAATATTCATTACATGCTAACTGTAAAATCTCACCACTTGGCACCAGTTTGGGTGGAGACAGCCATTCAGAAGTGCTTTTCCCTGCTCCTACCACCTTCATTTCCAATATACCCCAACTGTATATTCTGTGCTATAGGACAAGGACAGACTTTGGTCTGCGTTCCAAAGATCCGCTAACATGCTGTTTATTTGAAATTCTGATTCTTTTGCCACTATGTTTGGGTTTCTGGTGTTCTTGAGTCTCTGCAGCTAATTCTTCTCTTATGATCTGTGCAAGCAGGGGAATAGTATTAGAAAGAGGTCTGAAACTGGTGTAAATTCATTTTCAGTAATAACTGGTAAATAATTTGGGAAAGTAAATGTTCCCATTTTGGGGTCTCAGATTCCTTAGTTTGAAAGTCAGAAGTTTGAGCTGTTTTTATCTCTGCAGTCGTGGCCTAATTCTTTGACATAAGGTGTCGGTAGCCTCACAGCTCTAATTCTATAGATCCTGGAGTGTTCCACATACGACAGTTGCCTTTTGATACTCCTGTTATATTGGAGTGAACCATTTGTATGCTACATAGTTCTGAAATAACTCATACCTGAGTTGACTGAATTTACTTACTTAACAAAGATTTATTAAGTTCCTACTGTTTTCTAGGCTTTCTGTTAAGTGCTGAGATACAAGATAAGCAAAACCATAGTCCTTGCCTTTATGAGGCTTACAGTATAGTATGAAGGGTAATAGCTACCAGTCATGCTTTGAATGCCTTATCTATTGTTTGAGGACAGAATTTATATGTGGCTGTGGTCCTTTCATATTTAGGTTCAGAGGAAGGAAACGAAGAATATGTTTAAAATGTGTACAGGTATTTGACTATGCATTAATTTCTTTATTGGCTAAAATATTTATTAAGTATCTACTATATTAAGGACATGAGATACCAACCTTCGTGGACTTGATAGTTTATTAGGGACATGAAAAGAGTTAATTACAAGTGAAAAGTAATGACTGTCAAGCTTGGGGGAAGTACAGGGACTAGGGGGTCCTGGAAAGAGGATTTAAATTTTGCTGTTTTTATTATTTGCAAATGAATCATGGTTGTATAAAGTGACCTATAGTGATTTGAAATGGCTATTGTACTTTCTAAGGTGTAAATAATTGTGTGGTTGATGTGTGGAGAAAAGCACTTAGCTGATTGCTCAGTATCCCTATTTCTACTTGGGTTTGTTGGCTGCTAACCATCATGGCAAATACAACAGCTTTTGTGATGTGATTAAAGCAAACAAAAACTTTCTCTCCCCCCAACCAAAGCAATAACAACTTCAAAAAGTTGCTTCTTTGTGAAAGATAACTCAGAAAAAAAGTCAAATTATTTTTAAATCCAGTAATTTGTGATGTTTTCAGAATATATCTACTGTTGGTTGGTAAGTCTTCCTGACATTACTCTTGAAGTAGAAATCTAATCTTGGGGTATGAGGTTTAGGGGAAGGGGCTATGGAAATGGGGTAAAGGGAGCCATACAGATAAATTAGTGAAGAACTGGGATATCTTTCAGGATTTCATTGGGCCTGCAGTAAAACTACATTTTAATAGTAACAGTGATGGCTACCATGTGTTGAATAATCATGTTCTACTTAAAACAGGAAGATGAGAAAGGTGCTAACATTAAACTCATTTTACATATTAGAAATATTGGCTCTGAAAGATTAAGTTTTTATCCAAGCTTACATTACAGGGAAGTGTCAAAAATGAGGATTTTAATGTCAGTCTATCTCTATGCTGATACTATGTCATGCTATCTTTCCTTAAAAATTAAGAAAAAAAGTTTACTATTAAAATAAATCCAAGTCTAATAATAGAAAAAGAAAGTACAAATTGTTAAACAACAAATCCTCAGTAATATAAGGTTGAAGTGTAAAATAAAATCTTCAAAATTTGTATCACTGAGATATTCATATGATTTTTGTCTTGTACATTTTTGTTCGAGTTGATTATTTTCAGCATTCTTTTACATGCATTTTTACCAGTTGCCTCATCATTTCTTTTTTTTTTTTTTTAAAGATTTTATTTATTTATTTGACAGAGATCACAAGCAGGCAGAGAGGCAGGCAGAGAGAGAGAGAGGAAGGGAAGCAGGCTCCCTGCTGAGCAGAGAGCCCGACGCGGGGCTCGATCCCAGGACCCAGGATCATGACCCGAGCAGAGGGCAGCGGCTTTAACCCACTGAGCCACCCAGGCACCCCTGCATCATCATTTCTAATTGGACCATCCACTCTATTTTATTCTTTGTATCAGAGAATACTGCTTGCCTAACACATTTTTTCATTTGCTTACTCTGGCAAAATCAAAACTCATAAAAGTTTAAGAAAAGAGTAAGGAAAATAAGTTTACACCACTTTGTGGTAGGGAAGTACAGACATTTGTTTCCTATTACTGCTGTAAAAAATCACTACAAACACAGTGGTCTGAAACAACATAAACTCATTATTTTATAGTTCTGGAGGCCAGAAGCACAAATGACAGGGCTACAAATCAGGGGCTAAAATAAGATGTCAGCAAGGCTGGTTGCTTCAGGAGGCTCCAGGGGAAAATTCATCCTTGCCTCTTCTAACTTGCAGAGAATGCTCATGACTTCTTCCTCTGTTTTCAAAGCCAGCTTTCTAGTATCTTCATTCCTCTCTGACCTGTGCTTTCCTTCTTCCATCTTCTCTTTCTTACTCTGATCGTCTTGCTCCTCCTTGTCTAAGGACCCTGGTGATTACACTGGGCCTTCTAGATAATTTCCACACCTCAGGATAATTTCCACACCTCAAAATCCTTTACATAAATCACATCTGAAGAGTCCTCTTTGTCATGTAATGTAAACATATTCACAGGGTCCAGTGATTAGGACATGGACATCTTCAGAGAAACCTATTCAGACTAGCATTTGCCTCTTAAGTGTTGCCCCACATAATGTTATTGCGCCACAAAAAGTTGATTTTGGTGAAAGAAGCAACAATGATTAACCACATGATTTCTTTCCATGAAATAGTGTTATGTAGTTTGTATGACTTATTTAAAATTAGAGTAAGAGTTATCATTTTGTATGTTTTTTACCTTTTTCCAAGTATACTGCAGACGTGAACTTGAATGGATTTAGAGGTTAAAGGAATTGCTGCTTCTCTTACAAATCAAACTCAGCCGTTCTCTGGAAGAAAGAAGCTGCTGCAAGTACGTGTGCTATATAATTTTCCTCTCATAAGATGATTAATTAAATAATTTTCTGACTCTTTTCTTCATGTTTTTATGACAACTTATACTCACAAATATTTAGGATCCATATATTCTGGATTTGAAGAATTGAGTGGCCCAAACTGAAGATAATCATTATTTGAAAGTGGGTCATTACTTGAATTAGTTTTATTTTAAATAATCAAGCATATTATTATTGTTTTCATATTCTTATTTAAAAAATTATTTATGTATATCTGCAGAAAATAAAAGAAATAAGGATAGTAGAAAGAAGAGAATATTAGTATACATTTTGTATTAGCTAGGTAGAAAGAGAATCAGAGCTTCTATTATTAAGACTTTTATTCTTCATAACCTTCATAATATTACCACTGTGTGTATATATATCATTGATTAAGTGCAAAGTTATAGCTGCTTTGTCCCTGTTTCCACCACAATTGGGTATATATAAATTTTCGTTTAGAAATACATAAAAGTGATAGGTATTTCCTTGCCATTTAAAAAAAATATATATATATTATTTACTTAGTAGAAGGAGAGAGAGAGAGGGTATGAGCAGAAGTGAGGAGTAGCAGGAGAGAAGCAGATGCTCCACTGAGCAGGGAGCCTGATGTGGGGCTCGATTCCAGGACCCTGAGATCATGACCTGAGCAGCAGGTAGACACTTAGCTGTTTGAGCCACCCAGGTGCCCCATACTCAGCTTTTTAAATAAAGGGGCAGCTAGTAGATATTTTTGGCTTTATGGGCTGTTGTTTCTTTTGCAACCACTTAACTCAGCTGTTGTATTGAGAACACACAGACAGTTCATAAATAAATAAATAAATCGTTGTGTTCCAATTAAACTTTATTTATAAAACAGAACTAAGCCATAGTTTGCTGGCTATCTTTATTTTTCTTCTGAATTGGCTAGCGCAGTTTTGTTGGAATTAGCTAAGAAAGGTAACTGTCATTCTGAAATAGGTAGGTCTGTGACTTCAAGACTGTCTTTAAGTCTGTTAAAACATTTTCTGGGAGATGATTACGGTGATGACCATGACTATGACAACTATAATTATATTCTATTTAGATTTTCTTCCTAATCTACCCTGATGTTTCCCAAATACAATTAAGAAAATCTTTGGGGCACCTTGGTGCCCCAAACAACTCAGGTTTGAACTACACAGGTCCACTTATATGTAGATTTTTTAAAATACATACAGTATAGTACTGCAAATGTCTTTTCCTTATGATTTTCTTAACATTTACTTTCTCTAGCATACTGTATTGTAAGAATGCAGTATATAGTACATATAACATACGAAATATGTGTCAATTGACTGTTTATGTTAACAGTCAACAGTAGGCTAATAGTAGTTAAAGTTTGGGGGGAGCTAAAATTTATAAGTAGATTTTTGACTCTATGGAGGAGGCAGTTGGCACCCTTAACCTCAGCATTGCTCAAGGGTCAACTTAATACATATATTCCAATTAACTCATCATTTCGTGATTTTACATTTCTACATTTTTAACTTTTTATTGGGATAATATTTAAACTAATGCCATATATTAAAGCTCATACTGAATTGAATTTGTTTTCTCTTTTATGATCAGTTAGAATGATGAAGCTCAATCTTGAATGTAATTTCTGTACTTGCTATCAGTACAACAGAAATGACCAGTTAGACAACATTTCAGAAGTAAGGCAGAAGTGTTGATGCATGAGTTGTTTTGTGGCCTTATTAACTTCAAATTTTTCTATGACTTATATATATTTATTGTATGGTATCTAAGCTCACTATAATTTTCATATCTTTGCACAATTTTTTGGAAGTGAGACTGAACATCTACAAATGTATATGTATATATTTGTCACTTCTTTGCTTAAATCCTGCAGTTTTCTCATTACCTTTAGGACATGGTCCAAGGTCTTTGACTTGTATTATGTAACAGCTCTGGCCACCATTACTTTCTCACACTCCCCATTTTAGCCCTTTCTAGCTGCTAACTCCTGGGTGTGGGCCAGTGCAGGATGAGTTGTTCCTCCTGGCTAAAGCACTTTTTTCCCCTCTGTCTTAATCTGGCTAACTCCTACTCATCCTTCGGAGTTCCATTTAAAGGTTACTTTTTTTGTTTTTGAAAATGCTTCCTCAATTTCCTAGACTTGTTGGGTAAAATGCTATATGTAGTTGCTCTGGCATAGCACATTTTTTTTTTTTTTCACATTATTGTTTGAGTGAATGTCTTCCTCAGCCGACAGTGCCCTGAGGATAAAGATGATCTGTGTTACTTATCATCCTATGTCTCAAGCACAGTAGCGAGAGGCTTAATAAATATTTCTTACGTAGGGGCGCCTGGGTGGCTCAGTGGGTTAAAGCCTCTGCCTTAGGCTCAGGTCATGATCCCAGGGTCCTGGAATCGAGCCCCACATCGAGCCCCGCATCGGGTTCTCTGCTCAGCAGGGAGCCTGCTTCCCTTCCTCTCTGCCTGCCTCTCTGCCTCCTGTGATCTCTGTCTGTCAAATAAATAAACAAAATCTTTAAAAAAAATATTTCTTACGTGGTATTTACTGAGAAAATGGTAATCAGCTTTCTTGCATTGACTCATTGCTTATCCTTTAAAGTATAAATAAAGGGTATATATGTACTGATCTTTTCTTTTTTTAATTAAAGCAAGGACAGACTCCAAGATCATGGGCAATCCAGAATCTTAGTCTACCTGTGTAAGTCACATTTCTTCACACTTGAGCTGTTAAATGGGCAAATATTTATAATATATTAACAAGTAAAAAAAGAAAGCAAAATTTGATATGTAGTTATGTTTGTGAACCATAGAAAAATTGATGTGGATATGGATAGCCTGAAAATTGCCATGCCAAAATTAAAGTAGGTTAATAGGATTGAGGGTAATACTTCTCTGTTTTGTATTTTATTTAATATTCTTACATTTTCCTGAAAAGGTTTAACTCCTGTCGTACTTAGAAAACTCAGTTAAATGAATTTGTTAAAGAAATATGTGAAATTTTGAATTTGATAACTGGGATAGTTAAAATGAATTTAATGGGAAATATCTGTGGCTTTGTTCTTATCTTGACAGATATGACAATTTTATCAGTCTTCTTTAAATTATTTTATTTGTGGACTAGACCACATTAATTTATGTTTTATATTTTACATTTTTGCCTTTTAAGATTTGAAAGGCTATGACTTTTATATCTTTTCAAGTATTTTAGACTACAGACCTCATTAGAAAATAGAACCTAAAAACCTAGTACTTTGTTAGGCTTGACCATATGAAATTAACATTTTTATCGAAGAAAAATGAGCAAGTATCAGCCATTTCACATGGTTCTACATAACAGATACCTGTGTGCTCATCTAGCCAAAGAATGGGGGTACGAGGTACGTGCAAGCTCTTGATGCAAGATACTTAGTATATACTGACAGTCAGTCATGTGCTGGTAAATATTTAGCAGCTGGTTTCCTGAAAGTGTGTTATAAGTTTATTTTAAATTTTACTTGTTAATTATGAATAAATAAGTATATTTTAAGTTGGTTATAAATTTACTGATACAGAGGACATATGGTAAGCCATTTACAAATACTAACAAAATGTATAAACTCTTTTTTATGAATTCCACATAGCCAATTGATCCTCACAGAATGCTTTCTTTGTTTCTTGCTGAATTCTGGTATCTGTAGCCAACTGATGGTTTCAGTCTGTGAACTAGTATAGTTCCAATGTGAATGTGGGTTGATTTTTTTTCATTTATTGTAAAGTGATGTGAGTGATCTATTTGTTGACTTCTGTAATAGTTTAGGATACTGGGACAATACTTCCTAAGTTTTTTGTTATTCACCATGTGACAGTTACAGATACGATAGTTTTAAGTTTAATCTGAACCATTAATGTTTTCTCCATGACTGTTTTTAAGTCTAAGAGATCAAAACATAATAAGTCAACTCCTAATTCATAGCATTTGCCAGTTTTTGAGTAAATGATCCCACTGTGGCTGATTTCAAGCTATGTGTATTATATCACTGAGCATGACTTGGAAAGAGAGACATACCATTATATTACCATACAAGTACCATACATGTACGTAACCTCTAGAACATAGACAATAGTGAAGTATGGTAGAGTCATTAAGAAGTGATGAATTTGAGTATTTATTACCTTTGTTTTTAATATAACTTATTTATTTTTAATTTTTTATAATTTTATTTTTAATAATGCTTTGTTAACAACCAGCACAAAAACTGCTGTGTATTTAACAAAAACCTTTCACAGCTGGTAGGTACAGCACACCTTTGGCTTTAGTGTACCTTTTTATTTATTTTAAGATTTTATTTATTTATTTGTCAGAGAGAGAGAGAGAGAGAGAGCATGCACAAGCAGGGGGAGGGGCAAGCAAAGGGAGACAGGGAATCTGCAGGCTCCCCACTGAGCAAGGAGCCTGATCCGGGACTCGATTCCAGGACCCTGGGATCATGACCTGAACCGAAGGCAGATGCTTAACCGACTAAGCCACCCAGGCATCCTTAGTGTACCTTTTTATATAAGCTGTAGCGTATATGATTTGCAACTATTAAAGCCTCATTTTAAAAAGTTATGGGATGCATATAGATTATTTCTTTCAGGGTTCCACGACTTGATTTGGGAAGCCTCGTTGACTCTGATGAAGAGGTAATTTTTACCTGGTATTTACTTACTATAATAAACATTTGAACACAGTATTGCATGTAGTGTATAATAAGTATTATTTAATTTTATTTTAGGATGATTTTTCACATATTCCACTTAGTACTGCGCATATTCATTTTAACCCACCAAATTCATCTTCTGCTCTTAGTTGGGTCACACCATGTCAGATATCACATACCCAGCATCATCTAAATGAACTGGTTAGTATTTATTTCTTACTACCATCTTTCAGAATTATAATGGGCATTTAAGCACCGTATTTAGTCCAGAAATTTCATTATGTTCAGTCCATGTTTTGTCCAGTTTAAGTATTTTATATATTAAGATCCCAAACAATCATGTTGGTGAAATAATTCTACTTTGTTTTACATTTTTTTCACATAGGAATAGTATTTTTAAAGTGTCTTATACAATTAGTAAAGTACAGGTTTATCCTAATAGGAAATCCAGGAATTTAAAAAATATGGTAGATTATTAGATCAGATCTTGCTTGATTTTGTCTTTTGATTTTTAGCTGTTATTGATGTAGTTGTTTTGAACTCTTTTTGCCTCACAGTCTAAATTTTAAAGTAGAAAGTGATTTCAGATGTTTCAGTGACCCTGTTTAATTCCAAAACTGTCGTCACTCCGTGATTGTCTTCTGGCTCTTGTTGAGAGATTTTTTTTAACATCATGAATTGCTAAAGTTATGTTTTTATTTAATGCTAATTAGGTGTAAATTCATCATGAATATAGGAGCAAACTCACCATAATAAATTTAAAGGCTTTTCATAAGATTTGTCTCTGGAAATTAACTTATACTTTGGGCTACTGGTATGCTTTGGAGTAACTATAAGTAACTATACTTATTCCAAACTATCTCCTTGGGACAATATTTATACTTCAAAAAATATTTAGTGTTTTATTTTGTGTTATGAACACAAGTTCTGTTCAGTATTCTACGAGGAGGGCTTGCTTTTCTGTCTTTGTTAGTCTTTCTCCTAAAGCTGGTTCTATTTTTTTAAACGTGTGTGTGTGCGTGTGTGTGTGTGTGTGTGTGTGTATTTTTTTTTTTTTTTTTTGAGAGACAGAAAGTGTGTGTGTACGGGGTGCAAGGGAGGGGCAGAGGGAGAGGGAGACAGACTCCTAAGCAGGCTTCATGCCTAGCACAGAGCCTGATGCAGGGCTTGATCTCAAGACCCTGAGATCATGACCTGAGTGGAAATCAAGACTCAGAGGCTTAACCAACTGAACCACCCAGGCACCCTTGGCTGGTTCTATTCATGCTCTCCTTTGGTCTCATTTTGGATAAATTGCACCAGTAGTAAAATCTGTATCATTGTCTGTATCATGCTACAGTTTTCACCCTGAAACTTCGTTTTCTCTTTCTCTAGGTTAGGCTTGGATATTATCAACAGTTTTCAAGGGGCATGCGGCTTCATCCTCCTTTAGTGTGGCTATCCCCCTTTGGGCCAATATATATGTCATTGCGTTCGCTTAATACTCTTTTTACATTTCACTTATACACTGGCTCTGTTATCTTACTCCCATGGGAATTTGGTAGGGAACCAAATACTACCAGAATGTGATATATCTGAAATTTTACAAATGACCACCAGCACTTAGTGTTCTTGATCTCTAATTCCTTAAGTATTCTGGAAGAAATGCTTATCAGTGGAGTTTTTCTGGGGCAGGAATAGAAGGCTTATCTAAAACTCTTAAGAAAGAAAAGTTAATTTTTGTCTTCCCAAATTATTTTAGAATGAGGACTGATCTTTAGTCAGGAAACCAGGTGCAGGCTTCCTGCTTTTTAAGGCCACTGCCCATTCTGAGCGATTCCATCTGCTTCGATTGCTCAGTGATGCTATACCAGCTAAATGTTTTAAATATCACCTCTGGGGGTGTCTGGGTGACTCAGTCAGTTAAGCCTCTGCCTTGGGTATAAGTCAAGATCCTGGGGTCCTGGGATTGAGCCCTGCATAGTGCTTCCTGCTGAGCAGGGAGCCTACTTTCCCTCTCCCTCTACCCTTCCCCCTGACTCGTGTGCATGCTCACTCTGTCTCAAATCAATAAAATCTTTTTTTTTTAAAGCTACATATCTTTGTATCCTGTCTTTCTTTCTTTCTTTCTTTCTTTCTGAACTACTTTTTAGAATGGTTTTAGGTTCATAGCAAAATTGAGTGGAAAGTACAAATATTTCCCTGTTCAGTGGGTAGCCTGTTTCTCCCTCTCACTCTGCTGTTCCCCCTGCTTATGCTCTCTCTCTCAGTCGAATAAATTAAAAAGAAAATAAATAAATATCACTTCTGTTTAGCACATAGATCATAATGATCTATTTCTTAGGCATACATGTTAAGATAAATGATAAGCCTATTAAATGTTAATAAGGAAAATTAATAATTATTTTGATTTTTCTGAGAGATAAATTACTTTTTATTTTTATATCTAGGAGCAAGACATAATACCTGAAAACTTGCCAGCACCAACAAGTAAATATAAACTAAAATATCAGCAATATAAAACTGAAATGAAAGAGGGATATAAACAGTATAGTCAGAGAAATGCAGAAAAGACAAAATCAAAGATCACACAACAATCTCCAAGAAAAAAGATAGATGACAAGGTAATGTATGAGACTTTATAAAGTTCTGATGAAGTTTTATTTTATTTTAAAAATTTTTTTAAAGATTTTTAAATTTACTTATTTGACAGACAAAGATCACAAGTAGGCAGAGAGGCAGGCAGAGAGAGAGGAAGGGAAGCAGCCTCCCTGCCAAGGCAGAGAGCCCGATGCGGGGCTCGATCCCAGGACCCTGGGATCATGACCTGAGCTGAAGGGCAGAGGCTTTAACCCACTGAGCCACCCAGGCACCCCAAGTTCTGATGAAATTTTTAAAAATTATATGTATTATAGAAATCTTTTTGTCTTGTATGTTTTGCTGTTAGTCATAGTAAGTATAGTAGCTATCATTTATTTCTGTGTGCTAGGGACTATTATTTTAAATATTCTGCTTGCATTAACTAGTTTCTTCTTTTTTTTTTAAGATTTTATGTATTTATTTGTCAAAGAGAGAGAAAGTGAGAGAGAGTACAAGCTGGGGGAGCAGCAGGCAGAGGGAGAAACAGGCTCCCCGCTGAGCAAGGAGCCTGGATTCTCGGGACTGGATCCTGGGACTCTGGGATCATGACCTGAACCAAAAGCAGACACTTAAGTGGCTGAGCCACCCAGGCACCCTAACTAGTTTATTCTTAACAACAACTCTAAAAGTTTATTATTATCATTTTCAAATGTGAAAACTCTAGCCATATGACCTAGTCATCTTCTCTGTGTAAGGAGTTTTCCATTTGACTTGGGATTGAAAATAAGGCAGTATTAAAAAGCTGTTTTTCATGTAGCTATCTTGAACTCTGTTTGCCTCACAGTCTAAATTTTAAAGTAGAAAGTGATTTCAGATGTTTCAGTGACCCTGTTTTATTCCAAAACTGTCGTCACTCCATGATTGTCTTCTGGCTCTTGTTGAGATATATTTTTTAACATGAATTGCTAAAATTATGCTTTTACTTAATGTTAATTAGGTTTAAATTCATCATGAATATAAGAGCAAACTCACTATAATAAATTTAATGGCTTTTCATAAGCATATAGGAAAGGTCAACCTTGAATTATAGAGTGAAAGATTTGGAAACATATTTTGTGATACCACTGGTCATAAAGGGGTAAAAGAGTTGAATATAATTCTTTATTTAATGAATTTTTTTATAAGAATAATGTATTTTCAGGGAAGTTTGCTGGTTGTATTTACTTAACTTTTTTTTAATAGGTAAAAAGAACTGATTAATTTATAAGTAGGTATGGCATATGAGCTATTTTATTTAATCCATGTATGAACTATCCTGAACTAACTCTATCACATGGTGTTCAATGGAAGGAGTAACAAAAATTATGGGATTATTTGGTCTCTTTTATGTTAAGACAGATTTCCCAGATCCAAACAGATGCACACAAGTATAATAATCTGATGTCTGTAATATTAGGCAGGATAATTTCATAACCCTTTAGCATTTGGCCAGATAGCTGTAGGATCCATCATGTGATATTTAAGTCACTGTAATAATGTTGGGAAAAATAGAACGAAGATTTCTATAAGCTCATGTTTTATTTGCTTCCGCAAAATGGTTTAAGGTATTTTTTTTTTAAGTGAGAGGGTGCATGTGTGCACACGCCTGCACGTACAGGTGAGGGGCGGGGAGGGGGTAAGATTGGTGGGCAGATCGTGGGGCAGAGGTAGAGACAGAGAGAGAATCTGAAGTATGTTCCACATTCAGTGAGAGGCAAGATGAGAGGCTTGATCTCACAATTGTGAGATCATGACCCAGCTGGGAATCAAGAACTGGATGATTAACTCACTGAGCCACCCAGGCGCTTTTTTTTTTTTTTTTTAAAGTAAAACTGGTTTCCTTAAACATAGTTTCAAATGAAAGTGTTTGTTTGTTTTTGGTTAAGGGAGGAAAAATATTGCTTGTGAAGCTTGCTATATGATTGGTGACTACTTTATTGTATGAATAAAGGGTTTTATAGAAGCCAGCATATTCATGTTTTCTTCTGGAAAAATTATGTTTTACTTTAGTTTTTAAAATCTACATATATAGATTTTTAAAATGTATGTAATTATTACTTCATATGTCTTGATAGCTTTACAAAACAGCTCTGGTTTCCATACATAATAATTTTGTACTTAAGTGGTTCAAGCAACTTATTTGATGTCTTTTTAGATATATACCATATGAAAATCAAAACTGCTATATAAGTGGGCTATTGGTAAATCCTATTACAATTACATTAGTTAATACTGGAATAGTAATCGTTGGAAATAGAATTGCTCCCTTATATCAAAAATGTAAGACCCTCTACAAAGCAGGGAACAATTGGAAAATTTATTCCTTTTAGTAATTAAAAAGCTGAAGTTAAAAATATTTAGGATCTAGGACAATAACCAAAGGCCATAGCCCCCAACTAGTCAAGCTGATATATCACTCAACAGATAATCAATCAAACTGTAAAGTAAAAGTTCCCCTCACTTGTCTGAATGGCAAATTTCCTTTGTTGAGTTTTCCTTCCATTTAGTATAAAAAGCCAATGAATCTCTTGCTGTCAAATTCTTACCTAAAATGTAAATTTATATTTTAAATAATGAAACATCTTTAAATAAAACATAAAAATCATGAAACTTTAATTTTATAGAAAATACTAAGTCAGTGAATAAAACAGGCAAATATTTTTGCCCTCACAGAGTATATATCATAATGGAAGGACTTAGTGAGAAAAAAATGAATGAATGAATGAATCAGTCAAACAAACCATTTAGTCTGACAGGTGGTGATAAATGCTATGGATGGAAGGGCGCTAGGAAGACCAGGGCTTAAGTTGGGATTGCAATTTGTACAGGTTCTCCTGGAAAAATCTTTACCATTAGGTAGCATCTAAACTCACATCTGAAAAGGGTAATGCACAAGTCACTCAGGATAAACTCTAAGTGTCATGAAGTAGGAGGGGGCATGGAGTATTTAAGAAATACCAAGGAAGACAGTGCGGTCAGAGGAGGAAGAGCAAGGGAGAGATGGAGAGAGAGTTAAGAGTGGTGCTGGGAGGCAGATCTGCAAGGCCTTGTAGACTACATGAGGACCTTGCCTTTTACTCTGAGTCAGAAAGCTACTTTGCTACATTGAGGATGGGTTTTACAGAGAATAGGATGAGGTTGGAAGCAGAAAGATGTTTGAGGAGGCTGTCACCATAATCCACATGAAGAATGAAGATGATGGCTTGGACCCAGGCAGCAGACTTGGATAAGAAGTGGTCATGATGAGAAGCCAGACTCTGGAAAGATTTTGAATATTTGAGAGTATTTGCTGAGAATATTTGCTAATGGATTAGTTGTAGGCTTAGGAGAAAGGGATGATGGAGGAGGACTCTAAGGTTTTTGGCCTGAGAAATTGGAAGTGTCGGGGAGACCACAAGGATGTCTCAGGTGGGGAGGTTAAATCTGACATACTGAGTGGAAATGTCATTGTTTTCCTTTTGTAAAAAGATAAAAACAACCTGAAACAAAATAAAAATCTTTTGAAAGCGTCTTCCAACCAGAACATAGTGCAGACCTTTGCTTGTACTTACACATATCTGTTAATTTAATCTGCTTAATTTACCTCATATAATGCTAAACATTTTTTGGTGACCGTTAAAATAAAAAAGCTATTCAGGAAAAAATATAGTAGGAGGTAAATAAATAAAATTATAAAGTATCCTCATAAATTGATTTCCCAATAGTTAATACTTTTTTTAAAAAAACATTTTATTTATTTATTTGACAGAGACAGTGAGAGAGCACAAGCAGAGTGAGGGGGACACAGAGAGAAGCAGGCTCCCTGTTGGGCAGGGAGCACGAAGTGGGGCTTGATCCCAGGACTCTGGGATCATAACCTGGGTCAAAGGCAGACCCTTAACCAACTGAGCCACCCAGGTGCCCCTCAATAGTTAAAACTTATATAAGATGCATTATTCGCTTGTTGAATAAGTATTTATCTAGTGCTCACTATGTGTGGTCCTGTTCTGGGATCAGGGATTTTGAAATAAAAATGACAGACAAGGTTCCCTCCCTCATGGAGCTTATAGCAGTAGAGGCAGGCAACAATTCATAAACAAATGTATAATAAGATTTCATGTAACAATCAAAGGTCACGAAGACAGAGTAGAGTATGAATATGGAATGTGACCTTTTAAGAAAGCTCTAAAGTAAGAATAAACCCTGGAGGAAAAACTCTTGAAATCCATTAAGTTTTTAGCAGTTGCTATCCTGCCAGGGCATTTTTGTTGTTGTTGTTAAAAGAATTAAGTACACCTTATATTCAGAGAAAATTTTTGTGTTTATCTTTAGGATCTCAAAGGATCCTTTACCTCAAAGGATACATCCATCTCTTAGTACTTCTGAATTTCATTTTACAAAGGAGTGAACATGCCCATTTTTATTAACTTTACAAAGACTCAAATGGGCAATAATAGTTATGATTGTTGCTACCTTTTATCTGATGCTTATTATATGTCAGATACTTTTATAAGTGTTGGACATTTCATCTGTGTGTGTGTGTGTGTGTGAAGTAGTTACTATTATTAATTCCCCTTTTAATTCCCATTATTATGGGTAAACTGAGGCATAGTGCGGTCATTAGCTAGAAGGTGGAAGAACTGCATTCAAACAGACAATCTGATTATGAGAGCCTGTACTGTTATACACAGATAACTTGTTAGGTGTTATGTATTGTTATGTATACATTGTTGTACACAAATAACTATTGATGTGTTCAGAGGTTATTTAATACACTATTTTGTTAAAAACAAATATGCTAAATATGTGAACTAAGTATAAACTCTCAAGAATGCATTTGTTGCTTTCGCTTACAGTGTGTACAAGGTGAAGAATCCATCGTGGGTGGTCTTACCACTCTGGATAGGAAAGCCCTCTTACAACAGGGTTATGCAGAGATCCCTTACAATGCACAAAGTAGTATGAAAAAATCTGATGCTGTAAGTTAACCGGATCTTTCCTTTCTTGTTAAGCCATTAAGATAATTTACCCTCCAAGATTTTGCAGACTTAAATTGAATAAATAATTGCAACAATTGAATTTGGACCGTGGTGGATGTTCACTAATGTGTAAATTGAGTCCTCATTTTTCCAAAGGTTGATGTTTGGTATATTGACTGTGGAGAAATAGTCTTGAATCTTTGAGAGTTTGTAAAAATTTAGTTTATACTATTAAATGTTAATTGGCTGCTATTTTTGTCAGTGGGTTTATTTAACATCACCCCTACCCCTAAAGTAACCTAGTTATTTTTTAAAAGTGATAAGCTAATAAAACTAGGGAAACTTCAGCAAATTAAGGGAAAGGGGAAGAATAAAGTATTTTTTTTTCTTAGAAAAAGGAAAGCAAAACTCTAGATTCTTAACATTAACTTTAAATTATGTATTTTACAAAATCAACTAGATTTTTGGATGAGTATCACTTAGGCCAGATCTGGTACAAATAGATAATTACATTTCTATAGCATCCTGGAGCAATCAGGCCAAGCTGCTTCAAGTTGGAGTCCACTGCTCACCCCAGACATCCCCAGATGATTAAGATCTTAGACATATTTGTAATGGATTGTTGAAATGCCAGTGTGTAGTGCTTCAAAAGTTGGGAAACCCTGGTTTAGATAGCCAATAATGATAAAGCATTATGGTTTTAGATGGCTATATTATCAATATCACCGAGAGGAAAGTCAATATATATTTTATTTGGATTACAGTCATCCAGAATTAATATGTTCTCAGTTGACAGCACTGTGTAGTCAGTGTCTGGATCATGGACTGGTTTTCTGTGGATAACTCAAGTTGCTAATTTGTTCTAGTTTTTGTACTGAAACAACATAAACATTGTTTTCTATGTCTATTATTATTTAGATATTTAAGTTTAATAAAATAAGGAATATTACCAGGATTATACTAAAATTTTAAAAGCTACTTTATAAGGCAAAATAGTCTCCCAAATAAGGCTTATTTTGATATGTTCCTGAAGTTATACTTGAAATGGATGTTATTGTTACTTAAGACCCATTGGGTAATGTTCTTGGTGTCATCCAAAGGCATCTGGGTGTTAGTGGATTTCTTGTACTTACGATCACTTTAATTCACGAAATTCAGCATCAAGTATTTCACTTTATTGTGGTAGCACATATTTATCTTTTTTTTTCTCAAGGATATATTTATGTGAGTAAACTTTCAATGCATTTGAAATTAGTACTGATTAATTTTTAAATTCTAGGTGGAAACTTTTTACTTTAATTTTTAACTACTTAATAAACACCAGAAGTAGTGAAACTTTGGTTTTCATATCTATTTCTTCTAGTTTGTTGTCATTTTTCAACATTATTAGATTCTTTGTGTTAGTGTGACTTCTGTTTCTAATCTGCTTTATGTTTACACGGACCTCAAAATCAATGTTCCTGAGGGTGGTTCTAACCTTTCCTGCAGTAAGCCACTATAAATATCAACACTTAAGGTGGGCTTTCTGCATGGGCTCTCTATTCATTAATCTCACCTCTTCTGCTAGCTGCTGGGTTTTACATCTATGTTCTGGCTGAACTTTTCTGTATATAATTTCATATTTTAGTCAGTGATCACCTTCATCACCCTTAGACATAAAACACACTTTGCTGTGCCTGTAAGTTACCATCTGCTTTTTAACTTTTTAATTGCTGTTTTAAATTTATTACTAAACAAAAATCGTTATAAAGTGTCATGAGCTTAGACAACATCAGATGGAGTTATATGTTAAATGACGTGAACTATATTTATATGGGACATGTTTGGGTGTGTAAACTGTATCTTAATTTCTGCTAACCATCCCCACCCCCAGAAAAGCCAAATTCAATTATAGACTAATGTTTAAATAGTTGCACCCAAATTTCCAGGTTTCTTAGGAGTTTCTATGATACGCCTTTAGTCATTCTTACTTGAATGTTGTGTCCATTTTGAATAGAGTGCTGTCCTTAAGGTTACAAAGCCTCTATCATACGCTACATTATTGTACTTGATTTCATTTACTGAAGTGATCAATGGAGATGACAATAATTTACAGTGTAAAAACAGAGCAAGCTTTATTTTGACCATTTAATTTTTTAACATCTTTTATTTACTCTTCAAAAGAAACATTTTAGTAAATATAGTTACATTATGATCTAATTGGAATTAAATGATTACTAATTTTTCAATTTGATATAACCTAAAATGTAGTAAAAGTATTTTCAAATGAGTGGAAAAGCAAAAACCAGTGTGAAGATAATTTAATCAAACCAGTAATTGAGAAAAGTTGATCAATGGATATTATGCATAGAAAATATTATCCTTTTAATGATGGGAGGCTTTTGAAAGATTTTTATTTTTAGTTTTTGATAAAGGGTTGAAGGATTCCAATTTAATTTTCACTTCATCTCCTATGAACAGTTTTAGAATAAACTCTTTTTTTGTCAATGTTCGTATTCTTCTTGGAACACGTAAAAATGCCTCTTACAAGGCATCTGTCAGGGAGGGGATATCATAGTCTCCTCCTCCTCTGTTCTGGCTTCGTGAAATTCAGAGGCAGTGCATGGAAATCTCTGATGATTTCTACCGAAATTGAAGTGCATTATTTTTAGGAAATAAATCATCGTATTTTCAGATTAAATAATTGGAATTTGTTTTTATTAATGATGGATATAGTAATCTCTATTAAAGAAGAAAGTTGGAAATTTAACGTATATTTTAGGGTCCTTGTGTTAACTACAGTGTTGTTCTGTTTTATGGATAATGAAATTTTTAAAATTTTCTCTTCTCAGGAAATGGTGGCTGCAGAGAGGAAGAAACAGACTGTGGCAGAGCAAGTGATGATAGACCACTTATCTAGGTGAGAGTTAGTAGTAATGAGTGAAAGAAACCATTCAGAAAGTTTTCATTAAATTTTTTTTTTATCTTTAGTCAACCAACAGGTGGCTAACTCCAAGGTTCCCACACGTTCTCCGTTCACTACACTCACAATGTTGTAGTGATGGGTTTTTATAGCAGTCCTCGGCCAGTAGAAAGACCCAACAGTTGTCTTTGTTAAGTATTTTTCTCTAAATAACTTAAGTATTTACTTCATGACAACTTAATGGCTATTTAAAAAAAAAAATATGCCTAGAGTAAAAGAAAAATATTTTTACTTCATTCTTAAATAGCCACAGTTGCTTGTATGCACCTTCTGGTGCATGGCACGATCTCTCCAACCTTAGAATTGTTGAGGATGCTGTCACTTCACTTTCAATTCCACATGGCACTTGCTGTTCATCGTGGCAACTGTAGAAAAACCAGCCCAGCAAACGTTTGACCTCACTGAAAGAGTGTAGCATGATATCTTGGTGAAACTGTGAATTACTTTAAGCTAATAGTTATGTAGTCTCCAACAAATATCATGTGTCACTGTATTGCCCTCAAAAATTAAAAATATCCCACATAGTCCCTGTGAGTTCCCTGTGGCACCCTGGAGTGATGTGGTGCACAGTTTGGGAACTGTGGGACTGTTAAAAATTTAAAACTTAATCTGAAGTCTCATAACTCTTAGGAAACTGGGAAAAGGATAATTACCTGCTGTGTAAAAAATTGCATGATAATATGTAAATATTATAGGATTTCAGAGAAAGGCTGAAATAGTCTAGAAAGTCTTTAAGGAAGAAGTAAGACTTATGGTTTGCTTTGAAAAAAATTATTTAGGTGGCAGAAAAGTATTCTACATGCATGTTTTTCAGCAACTGTCTTGAAATAATTAATTATACTTACAATCTTTAATGTTCCTCTTCCGTTATCCCTTGAACTCATTTTGTTGATGTTTTTACCCTCACAGTGCCACTGCAGTATGTCCTTATAAGATAACTCATCGTGGCATCCACTTTGCCCAACTAATGGTGATTTCTCCATTCTCATTTACTTGACCCATCAGCAGTATCTCACTCTCTTATTGAAAACTTTCTCCTCTTTGAAGTACTTTCTTCTTTCCCATTGGCTTCCTACACACAACACTTAGCTGGTTTTCCTCCTTCTGGTTCTCAATCTCTGCTCCTGGTTCCTTTTCATTACATGCGAGTACACTGGGCTCCATTATTAGACTTTTCTACATTGACTTTCTAAGTGATCTCATCTAGTATCATGCCTTTAAAAAGCATTCAGGGGCACCTGGATGGCTCAGTGGGTTAAAGCCTCTGCCTTTGGCTCAGGTCATGATCCCAGGGTCCTGGGATCAAGCCCCACATCGGGCTCTCAGCTCAGCAGGGAGCCTGCTTCCTCCTCTCTCTCTGCCTGCCTCTGCCTACTTGTGATCTCTCTCTGTCAAATAAATAAATAAAATCTTAAAAAAAAAAAAAAAAAGCATTCATACATTGACGCTTCCTTGATTTGAGGTACCAACACCATGTTTGCCAATCTGGCCTCCTGGAAGTTCTTTCACTCCTTCCCACAGACCAAATCCTCTTTGATTTTCCTCCAATGTAGCTCCATTCTTTAGGTTTTTCAGACCTAAAATCTTGGTGATGATTTTGATGCCTCTCTTTTTCTCAAATCCCATATTCAGTTTTCAGCAGTCAATCTCAGTTCTACCATCAAAATAAATTTACTCCTTCTGCTGCCATCATCCCTGTTCACAACATCATCTTCTTTCTCCTGGATTATTTCAGTCACTTTCTAACTGGACTCATTGTGTTTGCACTTGCCCTTCATTGCTCTATTCTTAACCCAGTGGCTAGAGTACGTCTATTAAAAAGTGAGGCAGATCAAACCCTCCAGTAATTTCCCATCTTAGAGTAAAATCTGTGCATTGGTTATGTATTATGACAAAACCTAGTAGCTTAAAACTACAGTGAATAAATAGAACTTGTGTATCTTCAGATCAACTGTCCAGGCTAGGCTTAGCCAATTGGCTCTTGCTTTTTAATTTGGCCAGTTATGTATGAACAAAGCAGTGGTCTCTGTTCTGAGCTTAGGCCTTAAGAAGCCTTATGTGTTTCCACTTACCTTTTGAGCTTTTGCCATATTTGTGAGAAGAACACAGCTTGGTTACCCCACTGACCTAAAGAAGAACATGATTCTGCAACTGCACCTGGGCCACTTAGTCAAGATTATGCTAGATGAGCAGATCCCCAGCCAACTCACACTTACATGAATTAGTCTAGTTGCCATCAGTAGAGCCATCCAGCTATATATAATTGGGCAAAGCAAGTCAAATAGCTAAGCTCAAAGCGAGAGCATGGGAAGTTGGTACTGCACACCTATAATGAGGCCATGGCAAGGATGTGGATCAGGAGTGCTAAAAACTATGGTCAATAATATAGCTTACCCAAGCCCTACATCATCTGTCCACTATTAGAACTTGGACTGCTTTTCCTACTTCTCTCCTTGTCTGTCCTGCTCCAGCCATTCAGCTCCCTTCCTGTTCTGGAACATACCAGGTTCACTCCTGTGTTAGGTGTTCTGCATATATTTCCCCCACTGCTTGGAATGCTTTCCCCCCCAGAAATCCATATGGCTGCTTACTTACTTTGCTTCATGTCTTCATTCAGGAGTCACCAGCACAGTGTCTATTTGTTTAAAGAATAATAAGAGAGAGACATGGAGCTCAGAGTTCTCTCAAAAATTTCAAGCTATCTTTAGATAACACTTATGGAAAAAGATTTTGATAGGAATATTCACTTTTTTGTGGCCAGTATTTTTTAATTATTAAATGTATTCATTCAGTATCTGGAAAATGTGTAATTCTGAGAGTAGTGTGAATTTGTATCTGTAGATGAGCTTTTCCAGTTGCCTAGACATATGTGAATGCTAGAGTAGTGCATTATCATACTGAGTTCTCAGATTTTGTGTTCTCCTATATAGGGCTGTAATCAGTGATCCTGAACAAAACCTACCCACTGAGAGACCAGAAAGCTCTCCTATCTTTCTAGATTCAAAGACAGCGCCTCTTCGATTTAGGAAAAGAACACTACATGAAACTAAGTAAGAAACTTTTACTTATATCAAATGAAGATATACTACGTTATAAATGAATTTTTTAAAAATGTACTTTTATGTCTAACTGAAAAGAGTTTTTTGGCTTGTTTTTGTTTTTTTCTATATAAAGGAAAGTGGAGTTTTTGGAGTTCAGATTCCGGTTTTGCCATTTTAAGTCATAGGGTAAACTTTACCCTCCAGCTTTTTTATTAGTAATTTAGGAATAACAGTTACAACCTAGGAGATAATGTATGTGAAAATACAGATATAGTAACTGAGACAATTATATGTATTGAATCTAATCATGTATTCAAAATTATTATTGCTTACAAATTATTATTATTATTTTGCCTTTTATTTTGTAACTTATAAAATCTTTGGACTTTCATAGTTTTTGAAATTTTTTGAAATTTTTTTCACAGTTTTTGAAATTTCTCAACAACTTCACTGGCAGTTGATGACTAGCCTCAGCATTAAATGACATAGACAATTGACCAGTTTCTGCAGCAATTCTTTCAGATTTTCAGACTGCTGTAAATGCCAAAAAGTTCTTAGAACCGTTATTTTTTTTGTCTCATTCTTGTTTTCCAGAAGACTATTTCCATATCTTTAAATATTCAAAGATATCATGTATCAATTTCCTATGATTGCTATAACAAATTACCACAAACAATATTTAAAACAACACAAATTTATTTTCTTACAGTTCTGGAGGTCAGATGCCTAAAATCAAGGTGTTCACGAGGCTGCATTCCTTCTGGTGGCCTCAGGGGAGAATCTATTTCCTTGCCTCTTTCAACTTCTAGAGGCTTCCTTTATTCCTTGGCTCACGGCCCCTCCCTGCGTGTTCAAACCCAGCAACAGCTGTGTTTTATCACTCTGATCCTTTTTTTTTTTTTTTTAAAGATTTTATTTATTTATTTGAGAGGGAGTGGGAGAGCAAAAGCATGAGCAGAGGGGGAATCAGGGGCATTTCAGGGATGACGGGACTTTAAAGGTCACTGGAGCCAAATTTCTACCAAAAGCTTGAATTGCTTCTATAACATATTTGATTACTGGTTGTCCAACTTCTTCAACTTTCTCAGTGAATGGAAACCCACTCTCACTAAGCCCCTCATTTTTTTTTTTTTTGTTAAAGATTTTATTTATTTATTTGTCAGACAGAGTGTGAGAGAGAGAGAGCATTAGCAGGGGGAATGGCAAGCAGAGGGAGAAGCAGACCCTCCACTGAGCGGGGAGCCCCTCACAGGGCTCTATCCTAGGATCCTGTGATCATGATCTGAGCCGAAGCCAGACACTTAACTACTGAACCACCCAGGCACCCCTCTGACATTCTTCTTCTATAGTCAATGTATCCCTCTGCTTTCTTCTTATAAAGACCCTTGCAATTGCTTTGAATCCAGCTGGATAATTCCAGATAATCTCCTCATCTCAAGGTCTTGAATTACATATGCAAAGTCCCTTTTACTGTACCATGTAATTGTAACGTATTTACATGTTCTGAGGTGTAGGATATGAACAACTCTAGACGGTTATCGTTTAGTTAACACATCTAAATGTCTCTTTTTAAAGTAAGCTTTTATTGAAATAAAATATATGTTCACAAATTGTACACATTTTAAGTGTACAGCATAGGAATGTCCACACACTTAATGACACTCACATACCTAGTCCCTGGATCAAGAAATAGAGCATTACTAGTACCTCGACGACTTCCCTGTGCTGCTTCCCACTTACTGTCCACTTCCTCTACACACCAGCTTAGCCCTTCTGTCCTGATAGCATGGATGGTAACTGCCTTATTATAAACTTACTGAAATCACATCACAAAATTTGGATGCTAGGTATCTGACTTCTTTCAACATGTTCATGAGTTTATCCCTATCATATGTCTTTGCCTTTTATCCTCATTGCCGTACAGTATTTCATGGTATAAATATACAACAGTTTATTCACAGAAGTTGATGAACATTTGGCCTTTTAAGAATGATGCTTCCATGAGGGGCGCCTGGGTGGCTCAGTGGGTTAAAGCCTCTGCCTTCGGCTCAGGTCATGATCCCAGGGTCCTGGGATCGAGCCTCGCATCAGGGGGGGCTTCCTCTTCTCTCTCTCTCTGCCTGCCTCTCTGCCTACTTCTGATCTCTGTCTGTCAAATAAATAAATAAATAAAATCTTAAGGAAAAAAAAAAAAGAATGATGCTTCCATGAACTTTGGTGCATGTTTTTTGGTGAACGCATGTATTCATTTCTGCTCAGGACATACTTAGAAGTAGAATCGCTGAACCATTTAGTATGCATATGTTCAGCTTTAAAAAATACTGCCAAATAGTTTTTCAAAGTGGTTGCTGCAAATTAGCATTCCCACCAGGAACAGTAAAATTCGTATTTTGGTCTTTATCTTGTCTGATTCTTATTCTTGTATTGGTTAAAAGCTGGGGTAGAGAGAAGTGTTTGATACTACTTACTGGATACCTAAAACACTCACACAGAACTTTCCATTTATAATATAAATGTCTTATTTACTTCTTTTATCTTTTCAAGGAGACTGTAGGCTCTTTGAAGCTATTACTTCAACCTATCACTGTTAAATTGAATTCTATTCACCTTTGAGAAGCAATATAACGTAATGGTTATGAGCAAGATTGGGCTCGTCATGCTCTAATTATATGACTCTGTAAAATTTATTTGTAAGATGGGATAATAGTACTTACTTCATGGAGTTACTGCAAGCATTGAATGAACCAATGTGCATTTAAGTGATTTTAATAATGACTAGTGTCTAGGGAGTTCTTAATAAATGGTAGCTGTTATTATTGCTGTTATTTTCTTGGCATTTAGAGTTTTTTCAGGCATTTAGTGAGCATTCAATAAACACATTAATACTAATGGATTAAATTGAATTGAGAAGACAAGTCTTTCATGGTTCCCCTCTGTGTTCACAGGCTCCTTTGGTCCACAGGCTCTCGTTGTCTGTATCCTGCTTATTTTTCAGAGACCTTGATTTTAGAGGTATTGCTTTTCAAGATCCCAATGACCCACACACTTACTTACTATTTATGTTATTACAGTTTCATTATACCTGCAGCTTTTTTGGAGTGCCATAAAATTATTTGGGAAGGAGAGGAAACATACGTCGCCAATTCTTCAGATTTCTTATTATAAAGGAGTTTCCTAGTAATAGGATGCTGAAGTGTGGACATTTGGGTTTTACTTCATATTATTAAACAGAATTTTAGGACTGGCAATCTCTGTGAGATCATTCAGTACCATCTGAAGGCCATAAAGATTACACAGCTCATCTGAGGTCTTTATAGCTAGACTTATTCGAGGCTAGAACCTCATCTAACGCCTTTTCCACCATTCTGTTATTTTGCTAAGGCATGTTTTCAGCTACCCATGACTGAAAACTTGAGTGATAGTGACTTAAACAAGTCAGGAGTTGTTTTCTTGTAAAACCAGTTGCCTGGAGGTAGCATTGGTTTTCGTTCAGTGGTTCAGTGATGACACAGCTCTGGGCTGTCTTCCTCAAGATCTTATTGGCCTTTCTGACATGGTTGCCTAATGGCTACAGTGGCTCTGAGCATCATATCCCTGCCACGTTCACAGGCAAGAACTATTCCTTTGCCACTCTTTTATCAGGACAAAAGAAGTCTTCCCTTGAAGATTATTGGCAGAACTTTGTCCCTTAGTCACCTCTAATGGGAAAAGGCTAGAAAAGCAAATTAGATGATTGGAGGAGGACAAAGGAGAACAGGGTTAGAAGTGGCTGCCTGGTAACACTGTAATAGGACCCGTTAGAAAAACGCTGTTTACTTGTGTAGCACTTTGATACTATACATTCCAACACAAAAGTTATGTGGGTATTATACACTATATCTCAGGGTTTTTTCCGAGTCTGCTTCAGTTAGCTAGCACTCTAAAAAAGAAGGAGGTTTATAACTTCATCTTCATTTTGTATGTTTCAACATATCAACATAACCTCTTTTATACTTTATCATTTATGTCAATATCCAGTATAGGAAACTTTAAACTCATTATTGACAAATGTATTTCTTAACAGGATAAGAACCCATTCTACATTAACTGAAAATATGCTTTCTCATAAAGTACAATTTGATGGTAGGATCATATCAAGGTAATTGTGATTTTATTAAACTTTTAATCCTATGATTATAAAACAGTATTCTCTTCAAATAGAGGTAACAATAATGAGATTGGTTAAGTTTGTCACATTTAAATGCAAAATGTGAATTTAGAATGAATGTTTTTAGAAATATATACTAATATGTTACAACAGTTATAGGAACTATGAACCTATAAATAAGGCATTTTAATTAGAAGTTATCTAAAAAGTGATTTTAAAATGGCTTTCAAAAAAACCTTAGAAATGGCTTTTTTAAAGATATGTAGTACTTACTAGAAGATGGTAAAGGATTTAAAAATTAACCTTTATGTAAGGTGCTTTCTTTGATTTTCTTTTAAGGGCTTAAATTAATAGTAGATTATTAATAGGTGCAGGACAATGAGAAGATGATTCTCAAATCTGTTATCTCCGTGTTACAAACTTCCAGTCATACACAATACTGATGTTCTTTATGTATATTAAAGGTGATGTATGTTTTTAAAAGTTATCAAGTTTGTTCAGTGATTTTAAACTTTCTTTGACAAAGATAAGTATCTATCCTTCAGTGGCTTTTTGCAAGGTCAGCATTTTTAAAGGTCTTTCACTCTATCTTAAAAGTCTATGTCAAAACATTAATCTATTGTAATATATCTGTATCCTATCACTGTAAGGTAAAGCCTTTTTCTCCATCCAGATCTTACTTAAACTGACACTTCAGCAAGCCATGCCATGTTTCCCTGTAGCTTCCCATAACCCCTGCTCATTGCCACATATCAAAGGGAGTTGTGCTGTCCTTTGACATACACAATGCTGGTTTATTATTTAATTTGAAAATTTCCCTTATTTGAAAATCTTTAATATCACTCTGTTTTTCTAGAAATGGACATGATGCCTGCAGAGAGCTGGTTGGGTTCTTTTTTGCTCATGACCAGTCCCTAACAATTTATGAATATCGGCAATTTGGGAAAAATAGGTATGCCCTAAAACATTGTTACAACTCTCAAGATGATTACTTCTGAAGAAGCTGAATAACTTCACATTTTTGTCATTTAACTTCTAGAACAAGTGTGCTTCCTTTTATTCAAAAAAACATTTATAATCATCAGTGTGGACGAAGAAAAGGAAAACAATACCAACTTGGCGATTTTTATATTGTAAGTGAAGTGTATATGTATGCAAATGTTTTAATGCCAGATGCTGAATTTTGTGGGATGGTTTTGGGGGTTAGAAAGAACAGGGTTTCTAGTTTTCAATTTGTTATCTCTACTCCTTACAGAGCAGGGCTAATGGTTGATCTTTCCCCAGGAGGTTCTGCCTCCCAGGTCCAGATTTCAGTGGTCTGAATGTAAGCATATCACATTAATTCCTTGCAACACTCTACCCCTCCCTCACAATTCTTCAGTATAAGTTTGGGAGGGCTTGTCTCTTGGTACTTTTGAAGGCCTGACAAGGCCGTACCACTCGGTAATTGGCTATTTCAATAGTCCTGGGAGAATGGTCCACATCATGCAGGCTTATCTCCTATAAATGCATGTTCTTCTCTATATGGAGGGATGCTTGGCCTCTGGAGCTGTCACATATCTGATAGTTAGCGTCTCCGCCTTGTGATTTCTGCACCTCACACAACTCCTGACTTGTGGTGTAGAACAAGGATACCCTCGAAGGGGTTGATCATAGGTAATATTACAATTTGTGTAGTGCTCATAAATTATTATGTTCACATTATCTCATGAATAAAATTTAGCATTATCCACAGTGACCATCCATGTAACAAATATCTACTCATAGGCCAAGCATTGGAGATAGAACAGTGAATAAGTTAAACCAATTCCCTACTTACAGGATGCTTACCGTCCAATGGAAAATATAGTCAAATAGGAGGGCCAGGCCAGAGGGGCAATGATTCAGTTTTGTTGGGTTGAAGAAAGCTTCCTGGAGACAATGCCACCTAATACTGATCTAGAAAAGGCGTTAGGTAGACTGGGATAGGTAGACAGGAGAGGATAGGAAAAGGCTTCCAGAGGGAGGAGACAGCTCACTGAAAGAACAGAAGTGTGGAAGAGCTCGGCTTAGTTGGAGACTTAGACTTAGTTGGAGACTTAGTTGGAAGTCGTTCAGTCTGGCCGAACATTAGTTCAAGGTCACAGCTGGCAAGAAATGAGTCAGAGTTCGGATGCCTGGGTGGCTCAGTTGGTTAAATGTCTGCCTTCTGCTCAGGTCATGATTCCACAGTCCTGGGATCGAGTTCATATGGGGTTTCCTGCTCAGCAAGGAGCCTGCTTCTCCCTCTGCCTCTGCCCATCCCCCTGCCTATGCTCTCTCTCTCTCTCTCTCTGATGAATAAATAAAATCTTTAAAAAAAAAAGAGATGAGTCAGAGCTTATTAAGAGTAGCCTTATATTAAAGAGTCATCTAAAACGTATTGGGGAGTTACTGAAAGATGAGAGGTGGATGGATTGAGGGGAGCTGACATTATCAGGTTTGTGATTTAGAAAGAAAGATCTCTCTGGTTACAAGATGGGGAGTGGATTGAAGACTAAAAGAAAGAACCAGATTGGATTGAATTCTATTAATTAGGAAGGAGGTTATAGCAACCTAAATTAGGCAAGTGGCTGTGGCTATGAAGCTAATTAGAAAAAAATTTTAAAGTCTTCAGGAGGGGGGCGCCTGGGTGGCTCAGTGGGTTAGAGCCTTTGCCTTCAGCTCAGGTCATGATCCCAGGGTCTTGCGATTGAGCTTGCTTCCCTTCCTCTCTCTCGGCCTGCTTCTCTGCCTACTTGTGATCTCTGTCTGTCAAATAAATAATAAATAAAATCTTAAAAAAAATAAATAAAGTCTTCAGGAGGGAGAATCAAGATATGTTGTGACTGGTTACATGAGGAGTTGGGGGTGAGGAAGAACTTTACATCTTGAGCTTGGATTAAGTATACCAGACGTGTCACTCTGGCCTGCCTCTTGAGAGCTAGAGAAAATCGGCTCCAAATCCCATTTCACATACCTGTATACAGAATGTTTAGTGTCCATCCCAATGTCAAAGTTACCTCTAGCTCTGAACTGCTGCTCGAAAATTTTAGTACAGTTTATGACTTATTCTTACTAACCTGTTCTATGTTACTTGAACCCGGTGTAGAACTCTGCTTCCTTTTATGATTTCCAAGAAAGAATGAGGTGGAGGGGTGAGGGGAGAAGGGATAGAGAATGGAATGGAAGGATGGAGGAAGAAAAATAGAGAAGAAGAAGGGAGGGAACCCCCCCCCCAACACCATACATGTGAGCCTTTGTGTGGAAGACATTTTGAAGGGAATATAGAGGGAGGTTTATACTGCAGCAGAGTAAGAAGCTTATAATTTATTATTAGACATTCTTATTTTTAAAAATATGTCCCTTAAACATTTCCTGTGGTATAGGTCCTCCTCTCCTATTTTCTGACACCTCCCATCTCTTGTTCTTCCCACAATCTTCCATTTCTTTATGCAGAAATACTTGGCTTATTTTTCTTTTTTGTGGAGGTGAAGGCAGTTGTTGTCTGCCTTCCAGCTGTTATTCTGGAACTTCTCTTTTCAATTCTGTATGCCCCACCACGGTGTTTCTCTGATACTCCCTGCAAGAAATTTTAGTGCTAGCTATTAAGATAATACTCCTCTACACTTGCGCATGAGCCCACAGACGCTCATGCGTAAAAGTGCACCCACAGGTTCACTCCCAAGCGTGCACCTGTTGCTTTGGACCTACTCAGAGCTCTTTGATGCACCCAACACACTCGGCGGTGCACATGTACATATGCTCACAGGCATTACCCTGCTACACCTCTCACATAGTCTCCTTAATCACGTAATGTAATCATTTCAAGAGAATTGACACACATTTTAAAGAATGGAGAGAGTACTGTTATTACAATTTTTTAAAGTAAATGCTCCAGGAAAAAGGAAAGAAACCTCTCCCCTTATTTTCAAGAGAGGTAATTCAGCCCCTTATTTAGAGTTTGTGTTTGTCCCTATTTGACCGTACTTATTTGAGCAACTCAGAAATTAAAATAGTAACTTTCTAACTTTGGATTAGGGATTTTTTGATAGGAATGTTTTCACCTAAACCTTGCTGTTCCAACTAGGTTATAGTTAGTTTTACATTTATGTGATGGTTGTTGTCAAAAGACCAGGTGTAAGAGGGTGATGAATCTATTAGTTTATCAATTTGCTGTGCATCTTTCTGTGAACCAGGAGTTCTATTTCTGAACTTAGAGGTGTCATGATTTCTTTTCTTTTTTTCCCCCCAAGATTTTATTTATTTGAGAGAGAGAGTGAGCAAGAGAGAGCATGAACAGGCAGAGGGAGAAGGAGAAGCAGGCTCCCCACTGAGCAGGGAGCCTCATGCAGGGCTCGACCCCAGGACCCTGGGATCATGACCTGAGCCGAAGGTGGACTCTTAACTGACTGAGCCACCCAGGTGCCCCAGGGATGTCATAATTTCAATTAAAATAATTTGTCCTTTCTTCCTCTGACTCATAAAAAATTGGAGTTCTTATTTTTTTCCACATCAATTATTAAATCTAAGATCATTCTAATTGAGAGATTGATTGGGAAATTATTTCCTTTATTTTTCAATATTATTAGCTGAGGCCTGTGTGGTTTCTAAATATTCTCTAAATATACTTTTTAAAATCAGTATAAAAGTATACCGTATCAAATATAATCAGAATCAAATTTTTAAAATTAGTGTTAGTTGTATTTCACTCTTTATATACTTTCTAGTTTAAAGAATTCATCTGTTAATTTCTTTAGGGTGCAAACTTGACATTTTTGAGTTCCGATCATTCCAGTCTTCCAGAGAGCATAAAAGAAAACACATTACTTATACTTCGGATCACTAATATTGATCAGATAGCTTTGGATTCTCTCAAGTAAGTCAAATATGCATTTGTCATTTTGAAAGTAAGTGAAAACACTATTTTTTATTATTGTAAGATGATATTCTATCCTAAAACATTTTGACATTAGTTAAGCTTTATGTTTTTGAAAAACAAAGCATAGCTATATTTGTCTAGTTCATGTTCTATATTGTACTCAAATACATCTTATGTGTAGGAATAGTTAAATAAAGATCAAAAGTGTTCCATCTATGTTAAAGGTTATTAATTTGTCTGTGCTATAACACCTCTATTTTACCAAATGCCACCAAAGCAGTCAATTTTAAAGGTAAGCTATAGTACAATATTATAACATTTCCCACATTTTAGTGTAATGCCTTTTTTTTTTTTTTTGCACTAAAAAATGTCTTGGGTCTCACCTGATTATAGTATTCCTTGATTGATGATATGCATAATGAAAAAATAATGCTATGAATCAAAAGTGCTTTTATTTTTAAATTTTTATTACTTTATATTTTTTAGAGAGAGAGAGCAAGCTAGGGTTGGGGAAGAGAGGGTCAAAGGAAGAGGGAGAGAGAATCTTAAGCAGGTTCCTCACCCACCAGTCTGGAGCCCGATGTGGAGCTTGATCTCAGAACCCTGAGATCATGATCTATGCCGAATTTGAGAGTTAGATGCTTTATCAACTGAGCCACCCAGGTTCCCCCCCAAAAATGCTTTTAAATGAATATCTATATTATAAAACATTTAATTTATATATATTTTATTATATATAATATGTACCAACATTATCAGTTGCAATATATATTATTTGTATGTATTTTATAATATATGTATTCTGTGATTCAAAAAAATTCAAATTCATTTACAAATGCTTTGATTCATAGCAATCACAGCCTTACATATAAATAATATATTTTTTATGTATATTCATAGTTATATATGAATTATGTAAGTAAAATGTAACCATATATAATCACATATAATCAATAAAATATATATATTTTTAAATCACAGAATATATGTGTATATATGCTGTTCTTGCTGAGTGTTTCTTGGTGCTGTATGCATTTCAAAATGACAATAATTGGTGTACTATATTAGAGGCCACATCCCATAAATTGGCTAAAGGATGTCCGTTTCTTTTTTTTTTTTTTTTTAAGATTTATTTATTTATTTGACAGGCAGAGATCACAAGTAAGCAGAGAGGCAGGCAGAGAGAGAGAGGAGGAAGCAGGCTCCCTGCTTGAGCAGAGAGCCCAATGCAGGGCTCCATCCCAGGACCCTGAGATCATGACCTGAGCCGAAGGCAGAGGCTTTAACCCACTGAGCCACCCAGGCGCCCCAGGATGTCTGTTTCTTTGTCATTTACTGTAGTGCTCAAATGAATGCAGTTTTTTTTTTCTGTCTTTTTAAAATAACATTTTTATATTTTGTACTTTCACAGTTAAAATTGCTTTTAAATTTTATAGTTTTAATCATTCTAAAAGAACATTGAAATAGCTACAAAATGAATGTAATGTTTAAAGGTAGTTCTTGGAAGGTTTAAAGATATTAGCTCTTGATTTAGTATATTTAATTTTTCTGGAAATTATAGCAGCGAAGCTGGGACTTGGGGAATCTCTAAGCACTCTTCCAACTCTGAGAGTTTCTTTGAGTCCAGAATAGGGAAGAACTTAGACTTTCCGTGCTCAAGATCGCAAAAGAATACATTTTTATCACTGTGAACATATCAATTACAGAACTGATTCTGTGGAGCCTGAGGATAATTTAACCAGTCAAGAAGCTAACGATAGGCTTATTTTAAAGGCTGTTCAAGGTATGTATTATTACTATTGTCTCAAGTAGTTTTATTTTCAACAGTTTTCTTTGCAAGCAGTAAAGCAGTATTTTCCAGACATTTCTTAGTTTTACAACAAAGGCACTTGATTTATATTTCTTTTCTTTACTTTTTTTAAGATTTTATTTATTTGTTTGACAGACAGAGACACAGTGAGAGAGGGAACACTAGCAGGGGGAAGTGGGAGAGGGAGAAACAGGCTTCCTGCCGAGCAGGGATTCCCATGCGGGGCTTGGGGCTCCATTCCAGGACTCTGGGATCATGTTATGAGCCTAAGGCAGACGCCTAACGACTGAGCCATGCAGGTGCCCCACTGGTTTATATTTCTTATGTGCTTCTTTTTATGAATTTACACATTTAAAAATACTTTTATAAAGCGGGTGGATTTGAAAAAAAATGAAAATAGTTTTAGGATGTTTTCCACTTTAGTGATCTTGTTTAACTAGTATTATATGACTTATGAATTTAAGAATTTTAGAAAGTACTAGATAGTATGCGTTTTCTCCATGAAATAAATAAAATGTAAGTGATTTTGTAATATAACATTTGTCTTATGCATGAGATGATGTCCCAAAGTGATTTATGGCAACCTCTTTTAAAAGAGAAAAATGCCATCCTGGGAGCCAGGTTGATGTTTGGACTCTGCCATTTCATAGACTTTGTGTAAATCTCTTGCACTTCTTTTTCATCTTTATAATGGGGATAACCTATTTTATTAACTTTCCAGAGTTATTGTGGTAATAAATGATATACACACAGGTTTTGGATACGAAAATGTGTTACAGATTTTTGTTTCTAGAGTCCAGTCTTATAACCACTAAAGGATAGTAGGCTCAGACAGACAGTTCCTTTGATGACTCTCATGGCCAAGAGGGAGGCATACATTAAACAAACAATCATAGAAATCAACCTATCATTTGTAAAGCTTGATAAATCCTGATTTTTCATTTAAAAATGATATGAGAGTAAAAAGGCTAGAAACAGATTTAAAAGTTGTCTGGGATTGGGGTTTGAACTCTCCCAATATTCTTGATGTCATTGTTAGTAAATCATTTTCTCTGTTTTTTCATGGTCAGCCCAATGTTTGTCACTGTTGAATCCACTGTTGACATTTATTCTTTATTATATTTAATAACTGCTTTAGTAGAGTTAACTATATTTTCTTAAGTAAAAATGGCATAAACTGTGTTAAGTATAATTACTGACCTTCAAAGAGAATGCTAGAAGCTTGAGAATATAACTAAAAATTCCAAAAAAAAAGGGCTGCTTTAAGTGTGTAAATATAAGATAGCACTGCAAAACTTTGATGCTGTTCAATATGTAAGCTACAATTTGAAGATTTCAGATATTTTAGAAATTTCAAACTCGTTATTTTTGAGTGACTTGCCTGCCATCAATTTTATAATTATAGCAAAGAGGAAAGAGATTAAAGATGTGAGATCATTAGATGAAGAGGAAGTCTGGAAAGTAAAAACTAAGATTTTTATTTGAAACATGTAGATTATTTTCATGCTGATGAAGTGATCCCTTATTTTTCTATGTAACACTTTCACCACACAGTGGTGCTATAGTTCTAGTATATTTACATGCAATTTTGTATGTAACACTCTTGACTAAAAGCATTCTATTTTTCAAGGTCTTTTGTCAGTCCTACATACCATCTAGTTGCATATTCATGTCCCTATACCACTTACATCAACTTTAATTTTTCTACCAGAGAACCAATACATTTGTATATAGAAAAAACTGGTTTCCGTTTCTCTTCTTCCTAAACAGATGCGCTAAAAGAACAGCTACACAAAAGAGGTGTTCGTATTTTGACTGGATTGGCAAAATATCTTCAACAATTGGACAAAGAAGGAACTGGACTTTTAGATAAGGCAGATTTTAAGCAAACTCTCCAAGTATTTCACTTAGAAGTGTCTGAAAATGTAGGTACTGTGATGAATGACATAGTATTCTTAAATGGTATTATTTACTCTTCTAATGGGATTTTAGTAGTTCAGGTGTGTCTTTTAAAAAAAAAGATTTTATTTATTTATTTATTTACTTATTTATTTAATGAGTAGGGTGAACGGGCAGAGGGAGAGAGAGAATCTCAAGCAGATTCCGCACAGGGTGCTGAACCCCTGAGATCGTGACCTGAGCCCAAATCAAGAGTTGGATGCTTAACCGACACAGGTGCCCCCATGTGTCTCTTTCTTTATGCTTCATAATCAGTGTTAGTCATCAGGTGACAAGTCTTGTTAATTTTAATCTCACTATTCATTCTTCCCTCATATATTTAATAGAACCTAATAAGTAGGCATTGTTCTAAGCTCTGAGAGTGCATACTCTAGACTCTTAAGGTCTTCATAATCAGAAGAAAAGAGAGATGAAGGATTATGAAAGACTATATGTGTTAAATAGAGAATGCTTACAGAACACATAGGATTAATTCCAGGCCAGGTTATGGGAAAGAAGAGAGAAGATCATAGGATTCCTGGAGAAGGGCATAACTGAGCCGAGTTCTGAAGGATGAGGAGGAGTTAAGCAGGCAAGAGGGGAGGAAGAACGTGGGTCAGACAATGAATATTTCACACAAAGGGGAAGCACATGTAAAGGCATGAAGAGGAGGAGGGGGTGTGTAGCCTGTTCTAAGAATTGCAAAAGGCCAAAACCAACCCCCTGCTCCCCAATAAGCAGCCAGAGCTTTTATACATCCTGTTCCCTGTACAGTGAGCAATCTTCCACTAGACCTTTGCAGGGTTGGATTTTTCATCATTTAGGCTTTCTCTATGGGGAGCACTATACTGACACTTCTGTCTAAAGCAGTGCCTATCTGATCCTTGGTCCTCTCTGTACCATTTATCATATTATTTTCTTCATACCACTTCGCAAGTATTTTCTGGCTCTGCTGGCAAGTAGAGTGTTAGATCCATCGGGACGGGGACCAAGGTGTTTCTGGTTTCCTGCTGTGTCTAAAACCTCCAGTGGAAACTTGCTTATGGCAAGTGCTGAAGAAACAGCATAGTTTACATGGACAGACGTTTGGAAGGAAGGAAAAGAGAAGAGTGGAGAGAAATAAGCCTGGTGGGGTCCATTATCTTAAAACCTTTGCATGCTATGCTAAGAAGTTTGGGTTTCATTCTAAAAGTAAATTTGAAACATGTCTACCTTGAGGGTTTCAGATCAGAGATTCTCTTGTATTGTTCTCTCTTGCTTCAAATAGTCTTGTCACAAGATGTAGTGTACTTGTGAAAGGAACGCTGGGAATTGAACTTAGGAGATAAAGATTCAAGTTCTGGACTTACTACTTCAGCTGTGTGATCTTGCATAGGCCTTTTTAAACTTTTCTGATTGACAGGCTCTGCCTGGGCAATCTACAGATAATACCTGTGGTCAGAGTTACTTTGAAATTCAGATGAGAAAATTACATGGGAATAAGCCTTTTCAACTAAAATTCTGTGCCAGTGTGATGTTGTTTATCATTGTTGTCACATGCCTGTCCTTTGTGTTTTTTACCAAGTTTAACCTTGTGGCCCACTTAGTGATACATATTAGAGATCCTCTAACTTCATTTCTTCCTCTTAATAATAATAATAATAATAATAATAATAATAATAATATAGTAAAAACAGCAATAGAAAATTAGAAGCCTTGGTGTCTTTATCCACAGTCAAATAGGTAATTAATAACTGAGTTAGAGTTAGTGCCCAGATAATCTAGGTCAGTCTTTTATTCTTTCTGCATCAACCAGTACTTCTTTTCTTGGTTGATTTGCTGAATTTTTGTCCCTGGAGTAAGAAATAGAAACTAAAATAATTATATAAGACTTCAAACATAGGGAGAACATATATTATGAAAATACGAGTAAGCTTCCTTTTTACCCATTTTAAAAATAATATTCCCTGCTTTTGCACTATCTAGTGATATTTTGTAATATCACTAGAGACTGACCATGAAATGATAGGCAGAAATAAGGACTCAAGAATCACCAGTCTGGGTCTAATTGTGGAAGTAGTTTGGGGAAGGCATGGTCATTCTCTTTGATTTGAAATTTAAAAAATTGATATGCACCCTAAGTAGCTTAATTTATTAGAGATACTATCAATAAATTTAAGCTCAGTTTTTTTCAACTGAATTATAATTTTCCAGTCTGTACCATATCTTAGAAAGACTTACATAAATTTGTTGCCCGTTTTGGTAAATTATTCCATTTTTGAAAATTATTTCTTTTAAGCTTCAAGCAGTATCTTTTAATTCTAGTATTCCATGAGCTGGGCATGCGAATTCATCTTTTATCTATATTATGTAAGATTTTAAAGGTCAAGCTCATTTTTAAATTTAAGAGCGCATTTTACAGACACTTAAAGTTAGTCATGTGCTAGGCATTATGACAGACAAATTAGGGGTTATTGAAAATTGGGGGAAGCAGGGCATCTTAAGATTGAGTTTTTCTTATTAGAATTTTAATTGAAAAAAGCAGGAGGAAGTAGAACTTTTTTGAGTCCCATTGTTTGTCAATCACCTTGCTAGATATCTTATTCACAATCTTGTTTAAAGCTAACAACTTGACTGAAACTTTGAAAATACATTTATTTACCTGAGTTTAAGAAAACCCCATCTGTATTTTTTTGTTGTTGTTATTAGGAAATCTGTGACTAGAACATTCTATTAAATTGTGCATTTGCAAAGAAGTAAGTGGCAATGGTAAAATCAGCAAACTGGCATAAGGATTTACTCAAAATAACACCTTTCAGTGCGAATTGTGGGATAATATTGGAGCCATTTAGATCTTTTGCACTTTGAAACATGACGACTAGCAGAAATACCACTAAGTGGCCCTAATGCCAATTGGAAGCACTGTAGAACCTGAAGTGAATTTTTAATTGTCACATATATAATACATTAAAAATAATTAAAAGTTCAAATTCAAGTAAGTGGTGAGCATTTTTGTATTCAAAGGAATCAAACTTAAAATAAGAATTTGTGACACTGACTCTCCTAAATTACCCTGAATTTTACAGAACTGTCCACCACAGAGTTCCTTTAAATGGTTTTCTTAGTGCCTTTGTTTGGTTTTATATGTAACTTTTTAGAATTGTCTTGTTAAATCTGCTTCTTTGCCTGGGGCTACAAAAGTAGTAACAAAATAGTATTAAGATGAGATTTGTTGCGGTCGTATATAACTAAAAGGTGAAACAGTGGTCTCTGAATATGTCTAGGATTTTAAGTCTGCATGGCAAATTCTGAATGGCAATGACAGTGGCAAGGTTGATTATGGAGAATTCAAACGTGCCATTATTGGTGAAATGAACGAATACAGGAAATCGTTTGTTCGAAAGGTAATTTTGTTAAATAATCTTTGAAATAGTTACTTTTTAAAGTTTTTAAAAATTTTTGTAATTTGTTTGAGAGAGAGGGCATGCACATGGGCAGGGGTACACAAGCAGGGGGCGGGTGGGGGGGTGGGGGGGCGGGCAGAGGGAGGAGCAGATTTCCTGCTGAGCCGGGAACCTGGTGCGGGACTCCATCACAGGACTCCAGGATCATGACCTGAGCAGAAGGCAGATGCTTAACTGCTGAGCCATGCAAGCACCCCTGAAATAGTTACTTTTAGTAGAGTGTTGGGTTCATTATTTTACAACTTTATTGATTACTATTGAACATGTTTTAAATCCCTTCACCTGTAATATATTTTGGAATTAGTAAGATACAGGGAAACACATACATATACAAATCTACCAGCATAAAGCAAAATAATTTATGCATATGTTTTAGGAACAGACTTTACAAGACCAGTGCTCTAACCCCTGAGCTACACTTGCCCTTGTTTTAGGAACAGATTTTAAAAGGAAAATAAACTCTGAAATCAAATTTTGGTTCACATATTACTGTGTTCCACACATAACTGGTTCCATAAATTTCTGGCTCCAAAAATTACTAGTTATATGATTATCTATTATTAAATGTCTCTGAGCCTTAGTTTCTTGTCTCATAGAGTTGGTATAAGGACTAAACTTGTAAAATTCTGAGCATTGTGGCTGTTCTAGTGTCAAGGCTCAATACATGTTATCTTAGGAGTATGACTAAGGGATGTTTCTCTGGTTTTTATAATATGCATATTAGCTAGCTGTTCAAATGAAGGTTAAAATAACTATTAAATTGGAATTAAAAATAAGAGCCCTGATTTTTTTTTTTTTTTTTTTTTTTTTTAAGATTCACTTATTTATTTTAGAGAGAGAGAGAAAGAGAAGCATGCTTGGGCATGTGTGAGTGAGGGAAGGGGCAGAGGGAGAAGGAGAGAGAATCTCAAACAGGCTTGGAGCCCAATACAGGCTTGATTCACAGCCCTGAGATCATGACCTGAGCCCAAATCAAGAATCGAGGCTTAACCAACTGAGCCATCCAGGCACCCCAGGAGGCCTTGATTTTTATAGGAAACTACATCTTACTCAGGTTCTGCTGGCCATTGTTAGAGCATACTTTCGAGCAATGTAGATTCTTTCTCTTTCGAATATGTACCTGTGTGTATGTATCTAATATTGAAACAAAGCTTTTGTGTATAGAAGAGTATAAACAATTACATGAGGTATAAATCTCAAATAGAAAATATCAAAATCTTTACTGGCCAAAAGACACAATAAAAACTTTATGTTAAATGAATTCATCACATAATAATTTATAAATTTGCTCTTATTTGTACTTTACATGCCCAGGTGACAGATGTATCAGGAGTAGAAGCTAGAGGGTTATCTCTTTCATAAATCTTGATACTAGGAAAAGGGGATAAAAGCAGAGTTATAAAGTACTGTATTAGTTCACCAGGGCTGCCATAACAAATACTACAGACTGGGTGATTTAAATAACAGAAATGTATTGTCTCACAGTTCTGGAGGCTTGAAGTCCAAGATCAAGATGTTAGCAGGTTTGGTTAGAGGTGGAAGTTACCAGAAAAGTCTTTTACCCAGCTCTTCAGTATAAGAGGAGAAAAGTTAGGGCAACAGAGGTTAGCTTACTATCTCAAGGTCAGGGTGGCAGAGAGTGCAGTTTACCTATCTTGCTCCAGTATCTTCCTGTATTCATAATACTTCCTTCTTATAGCAGTTTAGTACTTTTAAACTGGCTTTTTAGAGCTTAAGTATAACCTACAGAATAGAGAATTGGGTTCTCATGTCTAATGATTTCATAGAAAAAAATAACATTTTTTTCTTTATTTAGGCCTTCATGAAATTGGATTTCAACAAAACTGGCTCTGTGCCTATTACAAACATAAGAAAATGTTACTGTGCAAAGAAGCATCCTCAAGTAATTTCAGGTAATTATTATGAGTCAAAATGCATTAGATTTCTAAAACGTTAATAAAAGTAAAATCTTAAATTATATTAACTTACAGTGTAGACTTGAGGCCATTAAGGGAGGAAATAAACACTTATTTTTTAAACCAGAAACACAAGAGCCATTTGACCTTCTTCATTTAAATATTCTGAGGTCTATTGTTTGTGCTTTTTTTTTTTTTGATGTTTATGAACTGAGATTGAATTTTTATTTCTTACTGAGGAGATCATGAGGAATTTGCGTTAGGACAGAATGGATTTAGAGGACAGATAATTACATGTGCAAGTTCTCTGGGTTAGTTTTACTGTATCTTCGTATACTTGAAGATTCAAGGCAGAAAGTGAATGTCTTTTTCTGGGAATGGTGATATATATATAACAGGCATACATATGTGTATCAAAATTTGAGGATCTAGAAAATACCTCAAATACATACAGGCAATTTAGGATGGCTTGACTTAACAATTTTCTGACTTTACAATAGTACTAGAACAATGTGCATTTAGTAGAAACTGCACTTCAAATTTTGCTTTTTGATCTTCGCCCTGGCTAGCATTCACAGTCTGATACTCTCTTGTGAAGCTGGGCAGCAGTAGCAAGCTCCCAGCTGGCCATGTGACCAGGAGAATAACAACCTATACACTTATGTAATCATTCTATACCCATACGGCTATTCTGTTTTTCACTTTCAGTACAGTATTCAATAAATTACATGAGATATTCAATACTATATTATATATATATGTATGTACACATACATATATATACAGTATATATACATATATATACACAGTATCCAATGAATTACTCAATTCATGAGATACTCAATACTATATTATAAAATGGGCTTTGCCTTAGGTGATTTTGCCCAAGTGTAGGCTAATTGTAAGTATTCTGGGCATGACTAAGGTGGGCTAGGCTAAACTATGGTGTTTTAGGTTAGATGAATTAAGAGCATTTTCAGCTTAAGACAGTTTCAGTTTACAATAGGTTTATCAGCTACAACTTTATCGTGAGTCAGGGAAGATCTGTAATTTTAGAGATTCATTACCTACTATATTTTTTCTGACTTAAATTTTTATATAGTTGATTTATTAATACATTCTTAGTATAAAGAAAGTATTTGGGGGCGCCTGGGTGGCTCAGTGGGTTAAAGCCTCTGCCTTCGGCTCAGGTCATGATCCCAGGGTCCTGGGATTGAGCCCCGCATCCAGCTCTCTGCTCGGCAGGGAGCCTGCTTCCCTTCCTCTCTCTCTGCCTGCCTTTCTGCCTACTTGTGATCTCTGTCTGTCAAATAAATAAATAAAATCTTAAAAAAAAAAAAAGAAAGAAAGTATTTGGCCACAGTGACTCTCCTCTTTTCATCACACTTTCCTCTATAGAGGTAACATTATCATTTAATATATATACATTTCTTGTATGTCCTTACTCTATGAATTTTCATAGCTATATAGGTGCTATAAATATCAAATACTTCTTGAATTTTTTTTTTTTTTTTTTAGCATGACAGGTACACTGAACACAATTGTATGTAGTTTACTTTTTACACTCAAAAATATGTTTTGGAGCTCTTGCCGTATTAATCCATATTGAGCCACCTTATTTTTATCTGCTGCATATTATTCTTTTTAAAAATCAATACACTACAATTTACCTAGTTAGGCTCCTACTGGTAGACTTTAAATTTCTAAACAATGAAGCAACGAATATGTTTATTTGTGACTCCTCAGGCTCATTTTCTGCTGTTTCTTATGGGGTGGTAATTTCAATACCTAGAATATCTACATTTCAAATTTTAACTGATACTTAAAATTGCATTATAAGATGGCTATACAAGATTATATTGCCGTTAGTTGGAGAATTCATTTCCCCGACTGTCCTCCCAACACCACAGAATTTTGCCAATCTGATAGACTAAAAAAAATTTTTATTTGCATTTCCCTGGTTATTTGGAAGGTTAAACATATTTTTGTATTTTTTGACCATTTGTAATTTATATTTTATGAAGTTTCTTTCTAATTTATGATTTTGATCATATACTATTAAATACTATAGAATACTATTCCAGAATTTGTCTTTGATATTTTTATTATTAAAAGAAGTTACCCTGTAATTACTTTTGTTTATCACCATTAACCCTTATAAATGGTTTATTTATTATTTTTAATTATGAAGTGAAAAAAACAACAATTTGTTATAAAGATTAACACTAACTATCACTGGCTTCCTGATTTCTGATAGCCTAAGGTCAGAATAGTTTAATTTGCTTATCAATAACTTTAAATGAACTGCAGTTGCCCTAAGAATATTTCTAGCATTATTGAATTGGATTTAGCATATCTTTTTCTTTAAACCTATGTCATTCCCTGCTTTTCTTCCTTAATTAGCTTGCTAAATATAAGACCAAGATAGTTTTCTTATTTCAAAATTAGATGATTTCAACATCCTACATTGTTTTTCTCTTTGTTTTCTCCCTTCTAACAATCTTAATTAAGTTGCTAAAGCAGCTTTAGTTTTGTTAGATGTCATTGAATTGTTGGTGAGGGTTTTGTTCTTGTTGGATAAGCCTTCATTAGTTTAAGAAATGCCAACACCTCAAAAAAAAAAAACAAAAAAAAACCCAGACCCAAAATTCCATATCTCATTTTTGCATTCACATTAAGGAAAATAAGCTAGTAGGTACAAGCAGTCTTAAAAAGAAGAACAAACACCCATTGAAGTTTTTTAAAGTTTAAGTTTAAAGTTTAAAAATATTACCTATCAATACAAATTATAATCTAGTCACATGCCCATCTCTGGAATATAAATTATTTACAATTAAAAAATATTTATTTATTTGAGAAAGAGAGAGAGAGAGAGTGAGCAAAGGGAGGGACAGAGTGAGAAGGAGAGAAGCAGACTTCCCACCGAATTTGGAGCCCAGCACGGGACTCCATCTCATGACCTCAGGATCATACCAGAGCCAAACCTAGAGTTGGACGTTCAACTGACTAAGCCACCCAGGCGCCCCTAGATTATTTACAATTTATAATTAATTTCAAATTAAGGCTTTTGTAGCAAATTTTTACTATAGAAAATACTTTCTTTTTACTTTACTTAAATAAATTATTAGAAAAAGATATTTTCAGCTTTAATAGAAATGAAATGTTCCAAATGTATTTCTCTGTAAAGATATTATCATTGTTTATTAAAATACTTCATGGTGGGACACCTGGGTGGCTCTGTTGGTTAAGCATCTGCCTTCAGCTCAGGTCATGATCCCTCGGTCCTGGGATGGAGTCCCATGTCAGGCTTCCTGCTCAGTGGGGAGGCTTCTTCTCCCTCTGCCTGCTGCTCCCCCTGTTTGTGCTCTCTCCCTCTCTCTGTCTCTCTGACAAATAAATAAATAAAATCTTAAAAAAATAATAAAATACTTCATGGTGTCCAAGTAGACAGAAATAAAGGTTAGTTAAAAATGATAAAAGGTAAGTAGTTCTTGGATGGTGATACAGAGGAGGTATAAAAATCTTGAGTATTTGAAACAAAAATTTAAATAAAAAATGTTTTCATTAAAAAATAATATTAAAACTCATTTGTTCAAAAGTATGGGTGATAAACAGAGGAGGAAATCTCTTTTGCCAACAGGTATATATTTTTACATATATTAGATCTTGGTTAATTTTAACCCTTCACTAACACTCAATCACAAATTCACTCTATTGTTTTATATTACCATTTGTGCGGAGCATAATTATCCAGTCCTTGTTCATTCAGCCTTTTTTAAAAATAAAATAATCATTTTCTCTATTTTGCACATATTTTTAAAAGACAGCAAACATCTAAAGCATTTTTTTTTAATTTGAAAGGCCCTTAACAATGAATGATTATCTAAGTCCATTAGAGAACTTCTGCTTTTTGAAAAAGATCCAACCCTTATCCTAATTTTGCCCACCTCATTAGACAATTAAGGTGGTTTTCCCAATTTAAGTTTGTAATTTTAAAATGCAACATGGCTTTAGAGTGATTTAGAGGGTCATTTAGATTTCTCTGACACTTTTTTGCCTTTGTATATGGGTCTCTATTTTCTTTGATTATCATCTGACCATATTTTGTAGCTTCCTTTCATCTTTTAATTCCTCTTATTAAAAACTTAACGAATGTCTTTTTTCCTCCTCCATGCTAGAATCCTGGGAATAGATATAAATCCATGAGAGTAGGGAGCACCTGAGATTGCTCCTTCGTTTTCACTGACCACAAAATAACCCAAGCTACTTAATTAAATAGCTTATTGTTCTCTTCCTGAATTAAAAAAAATCAGATGAATTAAAAAGATGAATTAAATCATTTATTAAATGATAGAAATATCTGAATCAGATATTTTATGTTGCCTCTTTGGTGTTTTGTTTTGTTTTGTTTTAAAGATTTTATTTTTTTATTTGTCAGGTAGAGAAAGAGAGCTAGTGCACAAGCAGGGGGAGCAGCAGAGGGAGAGGGAGAAGCAGGGTCCCTGCTGAGTAAGGAGCCTGATGCTGGGAGATCCTGACTTGAGCTGAAGGCAGACCCTTAACCAACTGAGCCACCCAGGTGTGCCTGTGTGTGTGTGTGTGTGTGTGTGTGTGTGTGTGTGTTTTAAGAACTTTTACAGTATTTTAATTGAATTTAAATGGCTGTGAAAGGGTGATTCTAGAGATATAAAATCTCCAGGTTTAATATATTCTTCCTGATTTGCCAAAATTGACCTGCTTCTCCCAAATTAAACTCAGTGGAACATTCTTTTTAGAAGTACTTTTCAGTCACAATCCTTGGGTGGAGGCTACAACGTCTCAATCATCTCAGTAATATGCAGGGTTAGGAATCTTAATGGATATAGCATGTTCAAATGAGTAATTTTCTTTCTTTTAGATTTTATTTATTTATTTATTTGAATTCAAGTTAGTTAACATATAGTGTATTGTTAGTTTCAGGATAGAGTTTAGTGACTCATCACTTGCGTACAACACCCAGTGCTCATTACAACACATTCCCTCCTTAATGCCCATCACCCAGTTACCCCACCACTACCCCCCTCTACAGCCCCCAGTTTGTTCCCTATAGCTAAGTCCCTTATGGTTTGCCTCCCTGTCTGTTTTTTCTTTTATTTCATTTTTCATTCCCTTCCCCTATGATCATCTGTTTTATTTCTTAAATTCCACGTATGAACGAAATCATATGGTATTTGTCTCTCTGACTGACTTATTTTACTTAGCAGTTACGTTCTCTCTTTACATAACAAATTGAAGCATTATAATTTTTTTACATTTTTGATTCTCAGTAGCATCTTCCTATAGAATGAAATTAATCATATTTAGTATGATGTAGTGGAAATAGCCTACTTAATGTCAGAGATTAAAATAGAGTGATTTAATCTAGTGAAAATTCTTCCGGCAAAGATTTTCATAGGCCTTTGAATCTTATTTGTGGTAATATTTTCTAGCTGCAGTTATGAGTAACTGATTCATAAAATAGCTAATGCCTGAATATAGGGATGTTTTTCACACATTGGGTTACTGTGTTAACAGCCTATAAATCTTTGAAATTATTTACTTGTTATCTTCTTTCCTCATTTCTAATGAGAATAAAACTGAGTCCTCTAAAACATTAAGATATAAAAGAATATCTACAGTAGTGACTCTTATTTTGTTTATACCTATAGGACACATCTAATCAGAGGCTTAAAAGTTGCCTTGAATGTGTATTGAAGTCATCACCATTAAATTCTGATTCATGCAAGAAACTGTTTAAATAAATTGGAGGGTAGTTTGACATAAGATTTGAATTTGTTGAAAAGATTTCATAAGGTGATTAAGTATTTCTTTATCGTCATCAGTCATTTTACTAGTGTTTTAAGGAGATTGTTTCACAGTCGGTACTATCTTACAGGCCATTCCACAGAGGAAGAAATCAAATTATCTTTTCTAGAAACATTAAAAGATGCCGGCAGCAAGTCTGATGAAGTGACCTATGGTGAATTTGAAGATTACTATGAAGGTCTAAGTATAGGGATAGTACATGATGAAGATTTTGTTAATATTATACGTACTCCTTGGGGAATTTAGTTTTTTAGAATGAGTGTGTCTTCAGCACTGAGCCTTCTAAAGATGAGGTGAATTGAATGTAAAATGTGGTCAAACCCTGGATTATATTTTTCTAGGACTTCTTTTGTTTTTTGTTTTTCTCAAACAGGTTGAGTCTGGTAGGAGGAATCAGAAAAAGAGCTGAAGGGAGGTATATGTCTGGTCATGTGCATGTCTGAGTGTTTGCCTGACTCTAAGCGTGTAAAGCTCTATCTTTCTGATTCATTACTTATCTTGGATATGTTTTAAAGGTCATTTTTAAAAATTTTTATTTTATTTTATTTGTGTGTGTGTGTGTGTTCCAGAATTCAATGTTTATGCACCACACCCAGTGCTCCATGCAATACGTGCCCTCCATAATACCCACCACCAGGCTCACCCAACCCCCCACCCCCTCCATAAAGGTCATTGTTAAAATTAGGCTTCATAAGAAAGTTACATCTGTATCAAACTATATGAGAGCTTCTATATAGTAACCAAGTTACTCATCCATTGTTTTTTGGCTACTCATTCCCCAAAATATGATTGCCACCATTCTCAATTTGATGAACTGGAATTGGGTCCAAAGCCTCTAAGACTTCAAATATTTCAGCTTGTTTAAAACATTTGAAAACGTTAAAAGAATTAGAGGATATGCAAGAGAAATTTTCCACATGGTATAGATGTTTTGTGTAGCATAAATATTTAGAATGATGGAGGCTTACCCTTCAAATGCTTATTTAAATAATGACTTGTCTTGTGGATTCTTCTAAATTATGTGCTGTTGTTTGTCCAGTAGAGCACAATGTAATTATTCAAGTGATCAGCTCTGTTCCTTCTTTTGTTCTATTTTTAACTGGAATCCTTATTACCTACACAGAATTACTGTTAGCTAGAAACAATACAAAATGGGAGGGAAAATATTTTCTTAGATTTTTAAATAAAGATCTCAAAAAGTGCATTATCCCATGTATGGATTCAGGGATAGTTTAGTAATTCTTAACAAAATGTAAAAGGATGTTTGTGTCCTAAAATGAATGTTTGTTATTCTAAACATCTCTTTTTGTTATACTAAGCAACTTACATATTTTCTTCTAAATAGATATTATTTAATGGTTAGATGTATTATAATCGTCCCTTCCAGTCTTATGTTGTTAAGCATATTTTCTTGTGAATATAATCAGAAAATGTATAGACTGTCATATTGTGAAAAAAGAGAACATTCTTCTGGGACTTCACATGTTAATGCCACAGCATACTCCTAAATAAGCCTCCACCTTCTTAATATAAATATTCTTATGTGTTTGCAAAAATTTCTCAACTTAGCAGCTTAGGAATAGTTAATTTCTCATTATTTTACACTTTATTTCAGTGTAGAGTTAGAAAATACGTATTCAATATGTTATTTGTGTATTTTGTTAAATTTTAATTGGTGGCACAATAAATTATTCTGCATTTGCTTTATTATCTGCATTCTTTGATTTCGGTATAATAAAATCTATTATTTAGTACCCAGTTTAATAGAGGGGCATTTAATTATGTAGTTACATTTTCAAACACCCGCAGCATAATAACTGACATTTGAAATTCTATGCTTAACAGTCTTTAGGAGTCTAAAATATCTCTTGATTAACATTAAAATATTAAATATGAAATTATATGTTGTAGTGTTGTTACATGAATTTTATGGTTAAGTATATTTTATCATTCTCTAGATCTTCAAGATGTCTTTGTGGTATAGAGTTGTCTTCCCAATAGCTATACTGTTTATTGAATTCTACATATTAATTTTAGTGTCTCTATTCTTATAAATAATGTTTTACAGAATTTTTAGGGCAACTCAAAAAATATATTAGAAAACAAGGGATACTATTTAGGAATTTTAAGCTATATTTTAATTAGGAAAGAATATATATTTGAATGATGGAGCAACTAGAGCATAATATAGATAAAAGTGTATGTTCCTCTTTTAAATTTTATAGTATATGACCATATGTACTTAATGAGCCAGTGACTGTAGAGTCACATAGAGCCACTTAAAATAACACATAATTTTGATGCTATGAAACACATTTTATTAATTACTTTGGATTTCCAGTCAAATTTGTTGTGAATTACTTCAGGAGAGAATTGTGTTTAATAGGCTGTGCTTACCACAGGTTATTTAACATGCATATATATATGTGAGATTGGTTTATAATGCTTGAATAAACAAAATATGTACTGTGATAAAATATAGTCACTACTCGGTTGGCCAGCAAGGGCAAACATCTGCAGTTAAAGTACTTAAAGAAGTAGAAGGAACTGAACCAAAATGACAAGCTGAGCATGAGAAGGGCAATGAAAAATCAGTGGGTTGATAGGGAAGTGTTAGAATCTGATAATGAGGAAAATGTCCTGTTATAGCCTTCCATTTTTACTTTATGGTTATATAAACTTCTAAGGAAAACACATTTTTTAAATGTCTTCATATATAAGTGCGTCATAGTGCAGCTTCTGTTCATTTGATCTTGATTTCATTTAGCCAGTCATGTAGATGGTTGACCATTAAGCAACACGGAGGTAAGGTTGCTGATCCCGTGTACAGTCGAAAATCTGCCTATAACTTTTGACTCCCCCAGAACTTAAGTACTAATAGCCCATTGTCGACCAGAACCCTCACCAATAACATAGTCAACTAACACATATTTTGTATGTTATGTTATATACAGCATTCTCAAAATAAAGTAAGCTAGAGAAAAGAAAATGTTATTAAAATCATTTTCAGTACTGTATTTATAAAAAAAAATTCCGAGTGTAGGCGGACCTGCACAGATCAAATCCATATTGCTCAAGGGTCAACGGTATTTACTATGTGACACTATTCCATGAAATTTCCAAGACTCTCGATAGTCTAGATTTTTCTCACACTCTGTATATCCACTTTATCTCAAGTCCTGTGGTTCCTTACTTTTGCCTCCGTCGCTTTCACTTCTCAATGCCTTACCACCTTTCATGTGTATTACCCCCATATCAACTCTGCCTCCTCCCCAATCCCATTTTAACCCATCCTACACATTTCTATTGGAATGATCTTTCTAAAATTTACTTCTATTACTTAAGTCCTTCCATGGTATCCCATACCTTTTAGAGAAGTTCAAACTCCTCACATTAACACATAAAACCTAAATAATCTGGTCTCCCTAAGCTCATCTCCCTCTCCACACTCCACTCTCCTTGTCCCACCCCCAGCCCCCTCTTCAGCCCCCCTCCCCAGCCATTCTGAGCTACTTCTTGTTTTTAGACTGGATTATGAGGTGTCAAATCTCTGTGACTTCAGAACTCCTCTGCTGCTTTTGTCTAAAATGCTTATCTCCATTAATACATCTAAGTTAACGCCTACTGATTTCCTAACACTAGCTCAAGAACCATCTCTTCTAGAAAGCTAAAGCAGAGAAGCTCTTGAGTCTGATACAGTTGTCCTTCTTTGGATCTCAGAGGCAGCCTGTGTGAGCCTTTCATCCAGCATGTATTGCTTCATATTATAGTTATTACTTCGCTTATGTTTTCCCACGATTTGTAAGCTTTTCAAGAGTAAGGACCATATCTTATTTCACTTTATGAGCCTGGTATCTAATGCAGGATGCCTGACACGTGGTAGGTGTTCAGTCAAGATTTGCTAACTGGGTAAATATGATTTTGAGCAACAAGTGTTATGGTTCTTACAGTTTAACATTGTTGCTTTAAAACACTATAGCAGAGACTATTGAACAGTATGAATGTGCACTTTAGTGCAAGCTTCAATTACAGGGGCAGTATGTTTCCCTAATAAAGAATGCACAGACTGGAGGTGTTTGAGTTAGCACTTTATCGACAAGACCTTACCACTCCAGGGGCTACCATATTCACTTCAGCTAGCTGGAACTCAGTCAGTATTTGATCCCTACAGAACAAGCCTCCTAAGCACAGTGGGTTTGATCCATAAAAACAGTGTATCATTGAATCCCTTAATGGTCTTGTGTACACCTGTGGATTAGAACTTCTGGTTACCCAACTATAACAGTACAGTAACCAGGTGCCTCCCCTTCTGGGGCTGCTGCTTCTGGGGAGCTTTTGTGCATTGTGATGGTTGGAGTTCCCAAGGGGATGAACTGCTGGGATTTCAGTAAGTTTACAGATGAGATTGTGTCATCTCCTCCTGCCTCCTTGCTAAGAAATGCTTGTTTGTTCATTAAATATTTTATTTGAGAGAGAGAGAGAGATGGAGAGAGAGCGTGTGCACGGGGATGTAAGCAGGGGGAAGGGTGGGGAAGGGAGAGAGAGAATCCTAAGCAAACTCCGAGCTGAGCATGGAGCTCAGGGTGGGACTGAATCCCATGACCCTGAGATCATGACCTGAGTGGAAATTAAGAGTTGGAGGCTTAAGCGACAGCTACCCAGCTGCCTCAGAAATGCTTGCTTAATAAATGTCTGTATGTGTGGCAGAATTTGGTCTGAAACTTATTTCATTATAGTTAGGAAGGTTAGGAAGAGTAGCTAATTCTCACTCACCTCAAAACTTTGGCTGGGGGGCTGTGGGGGGAGGTACTCACAGTTAACTGCCATTAAAAAAAAACAAACCCTATTGTGCACAACTAAATTAGCTATTCCTAATACAGTTGTCAGTTTGCAGCTACAATTCTCTATCATACACCACATCACAGACCCAAATATGGCATGGCACAATGCCTGAGGTAATAGACTAAAAATTTAAACACCCCCTCCTTCATGATTGTTAAAACACAGGCATAAAGTAGGCATGGTAGAGCATGGAAGTACTTTTTGTGTTGTCTCAGGGAGGTAATAATAATAATTCATCCCTCTGAAATCATATGATTTATTACGATATTATTGAGATGGCATTTCCAATGTTTTGTAAAAAAAAAACCAAAACGATAAAAATTTTGGAGATTTGATTGCATAGCTTATTAAAACGTATTAGCAGATACACATTTTCAGATTTCTTTCTTCAGTAACCTCTGTGAGCTGATTTGTGTAGTTTTTGGATATCTAAGCAAGGCAACATTATTTGGAAGGATTTGAATTAAAAAATTACCTATCTGTTGACAATTTTTATGCAGGGGGAAAACAGTCAAAGTCTCTTGTGTTTCAGTACTCCTTTTATCAAGTTAGGATGGGATTTCTGAGCTATGGCTGAGTAAGTTTATGTATAAATGAAAAGATTCTCACCTTTAAAACTGTATGTTGAGTTTCCTAGGATTTTCAGATGATGAGAAAACCAATATGGAACAGGTGACTGGAATTCAAGGATATCATTATATTCACTTATGAAAGTG